CTGCAGTATCAACTCAAGGACATTGATATCAAAGTCCTCTCGAAAAGCCTTGACGGCTTCTAAGGGCCCAGGACAGAGCTGCTCATGCTTGGCGATCGGGTCATGCCGCCTATTGTCCGTGTACGCGTACCAGGTCTGTGCTACAGGAAGACCATCGATTATCTGCGCGTATGTATTTTCGGAGGATATTGGAGAGGGCCGTTTTGAATGCAGTCAGGTGCTCGGCGTCCAGACTGCTAGTAGATAATGTAACAGTGTTGGTGTTGTGTCCTGACATATCTGGATTCTAGTAGCGGGTTAGGAATGGTATTCTTGATCAATCGAGACTTGAGAAATGGTACTATACAGCACATACATTTCAAAAGAAACAAGATTGTAGGATAAATAACTAAGTAAATAAGTAGAAGCAGGGCAAAGTTCTAGGATACAATATAATATAATTAGCATGAGGGGTAATGGGTAATAGACCAAACGTGATTGATTAATTAATCACTTCCGTCGATTCGATAATCGAACTGCATGCACATGACAAGGACATATATATACTCCGTAAATAAATAGCACATGCTGTACCTAGGTAGTGAATAGAATATATAGATGAAACAGGCCTTGCGGCTACACAATGTATGTACATACTCCCGAGTATGTGCATGTTAAGAGTTGTTGTATCTCCTATCCAATCAATAAATACCGCACTGTTATCTATCTGGTCATAACACAAAAATAGATAAATATATATCACTGGCACTTTGACTTGACTGTACAATACTCACAGGATTTTGTTAATAATTGACTCTGAAATAAGCGCCTGGGAACTATTATTATATTACTTGACTACTAAACCTGTGCTTTAGGCGCTTAGATAGTACTATATGTATGGATAAAATAGTGCCTAAATACCTAAAATATTAGCTTAAATAAAATAAGCTCAGCTGATAAAATCACAGGATATTTGCCAAGTTGGCTAGCGAAGAGAACTCGGCACCAAGAATAGAGAAACTAAGATTCTTTCTTTTCTCGTATAAGACTGCGCTGGCTACAGCTATGTCAGGTTACTCATAAGCTATATAAGCTTGGTCTTCATCTCATCTTCACATAAACGAAACGACACGACACGACACGACACGACACAACCCCAACGCAAGAGTCAGACAGGAACCGCAGCAACATGTTTCGAGCAACGCCAGACCGCTTCGGCTTAATCCAAGCGCATCAAAAATGAACGATGACAAAAACGATGACGAACGATGATTCCAAATCACTGATAGTGATTGCAAGCTATTTGCTGCCGCTTAGTACACCTTCTTCTTCTCGTCCACGCTGAACTGGCCAGGGCCCATGTTGACCAGGAGTAACAATCCTCCGCTGGAAGACGTCAGCAGAATCCAATTAATGTAGTTATCGAGGCTGCTTACACAATCGACAAGATCTGGAAAAAGTCGTACTTGGCAAAGTCCTTCTGCGGGTGGTGGGGCTGCAGGGTCCAGAAGTTGTTGACCAACACGTTGAACACGCTCAGCAGCACGACCAGGATGACGGCGCTCATCTTGGCCTTGAAGCCCACAACCACCATGACACAGGCCACGAAGCCAAACAGGCTGACAATTACCCGCCACACGCTCCACTGCCCCGCGAACACGAACCCGATGAACAGGAAGATCAGCAGCACCCGCCCGGCCAGCTGGAAGTACATCTTGCGGTCCTTCTCATCCAGCTGCGGGAGGCCGGCGGGAACGAACTTCTTGCGCACCCACGAGTCGGACAGCACCATGAGCAGACCGCCGATGACGCTCAGGTTGCGCAGGAAGAAGTTCAGGTCGAAGATCAGGCCGTAGCCCAGCGCCTGGGTCACGACGACCGCCAGCAGCCCTCCGACGGCAAACTCGCTGTGCTTGCGGGTGATGACGAGCGTGGAGCAGACGAGCATGGTAATGACGTTGAAGATGAGGAACAGGTGAGTAATGCCCCATGGTACTACTTGGATTAGCCGGTATGTTTATTGCAGGATGTTTTCGATCTAGGGAGCCGGTTTGAGAGAGACATACTGCCACGGTAGTTCCGCAGGAATAATAGCTGATCACTCCACTGCGTGATAATCCGCAACGAGTCTTCAAGGAAAGTGACAACGATCAGGAACCGGCCAATGGCCGGCAAATATCTACAATTGCCAGGCTGTCAGTTTCCGTCCCTTGTTTCGTTTCAAGGCGTCTCAAACATACGGTTTGATCGGATCGGACAGCGTGTCCAGCCAGTCCTCGATCTTGCTCGTCTGCTCGCGGATAGCATCCAGCGGACTCGGGTCGCTGGTCGCGTCTGCCCTTCCTGGCCCGCCGAAGGGATTCTGATGTCCGAGGTTATAGCCCGCGGTGCCGCGTATTTGCGCCATGGTGAACGAGAGGAAGGGAACGAAAAAACAACAGACACGGCACTGGAAGAGAAAAAGAAAGAAAAGCGATGGCTGTCAGGAAGGACAGAGCAGGGAGGAAAATAGGGTGTGGGATCGTCTCCCTGGCTGGACGCTGGCAGGTTGATTCTTATAGAAAGACAGCTTGCCGGCCGTACAGGCCACGATGCCCGTAACTTCGGCCTGGCCCAGTCGGGCTTAGTTGCCAAGCCCGTTCCTGCTTGGGTTTAGCGCGGACGGGCGGCCCGTGACGCCATGGCGATGCCTACAAACTATGTAGACTGTACTGTCAAGTCCAGGTCTAACGTAGATTTAATGTTTACTCATTGATATGCTGTTGTCTTCATATCTAAATTAGAACACTTAGCACTTAATATCGAGCTGCTCGATAAACTACAGTTATTGCCTAGCTGATATACATACAAGCGGCACAATATAACAAGAAGAAAAGAAAAAAAAAGAAAAGAAAAATAAACACAGGTCAATACAGCTCAATCAAGGAATGGTTCCTAGGTCCATATCTGGTGCAAATCTCTGCTCGTAAAAAAAAAAATAAAAATTCAATCAATCAACCGCCGCGCAAGCAATCCCATAACCGCTCAGACTGCTCAGACTTTTTCTGAGGCAGGAACAAATCACAAATCAAACAAACAGACAATATGGCAGATCAGCAACAGGGTATTGCAGGTATTGCAACTCTGGAGAAGCGCACGCCGCACTCAGAGCTAAAACATCGCATCGAATGCCATGAGACCAACTTTTGGGTTTGGTATTGTAACGCATGCTGGAGTTTGCCGGAGAAAGTGATATCTGAGCAAGAAGAAAGCATCCAAAACGCCGAGGCCATGAGTACATGGGATGATACAAGACCGGGATAACGGATAAAAAAACACTCTCACGCAGCCCAGTCTGAATCAAGGGGATGGCCTTTCCCTCTTGTGTCCGGAATGGGGATCGGTGACACCTTGGGTGCGACCACCTCCGCGGGCGCCTGGATCTCCGAGGCACTGGCGTCGCTGACGCTCTCGTCCGCCTTGGCGCCTTTCTTCTTGCCTTTCTTGCTGGAGACGGTCGTCCAGTCGTCTTCCTTGTCGGTGACGCCGAGAATGCGCATCTGCTCCTCTTCCGGAGGGAGACCTTGAGCCCATGTCCCCGTGGACGAACTGTCTGGTTGCGACGTCGCAGGCTTCTCGGGGTCAAATGTATCGAGGAGAGGAACATTGTGGTTCACTGGGACTTTGGGAGCTCCATTGCTCGTGGTACTCATGGGCTTGTTGGTCTTCCACGCATTCGCCGGGGAGGCGGGCTGTTTTCTCGCAGCTTCGCGGCGTTCGGCCTTGCGGGCGGTATGAAGCTGCTTCTCGAGGAGCTTGCGCCTCTGCTCCTCCGCCTCTTGGACCTGCTGCTTTCGTGCCTCGTTCTTCAGCCTCTGTTGGCGCTGCTTCTTGCTCTCCACCTGCTTGAACTTCTGCGATTTCTGTTTCTTGGTCTCACTCTCCATTGAGCCCGTCAATCGGAGAACAGAAGCGCCCGGCGCGGGCGGTTCGAGCATGTCGGAGACGTCGTCCGCAGAGGGGACCGTGGCATTAACCACGGGTGACCCAGCCGACGAGAGGTCATCGTCTGCGTCCGCTCCGGTGGTGGACGAAGTACGGGTCGACACATGAGACCCCGAGCGCTCGCTGCTGCCGCTTTCCAGCTGATTGGCAGCAGCAACCGCCGCCTTCTTCGCACGCTTCTCTTTGCTGCGATTTTTGGAAGAGTCTGAAAGCGCAACCCCATTTTTCACCGCCGCGAAGCGCTTTGCAAACTCCTTGTTATCGACGTCCTCCTCGTCGGCAGTATCGAGAGGAGCGCTCTGCCAGTTCGGCTTCTCCTCGGGCTTTCTCTCTTCGGGCTTTCGGGCGGGAGCAGGCGCCGATTCGGGAGCCTTTCTGGCCTTCTTCTTCTGCTTCGGGGCGCTTAGAGCAGTCTCATTTTTCTCCGTAGTCGTCCTGACGGCAGACCTGCCCTTGGGTTTGGACCCGTCTGTGTAGTACCACCCCAGTCCTCCCGCAACAACGAGCACAATCGCCCAACTCAGGTAGGGATTCATCTCTAGTCTGTCGGGTGAAAGACCATCAGCGGCGGTATTATTATATCAGGCAATCAGAATTGGGCGCTTACCAATCGAGAAACGAACACGAGATCTTTTTCTTAACAGTCGAACAGCAGTCGTGCCGCAGACAGAAAAATGGCGACGCGACAAAACTCGGGCACGTTGGTCGGCTAGAACATTCGAGGAGAGGGGGAGTCGTTCGAAGGCTATCTTCCCAACGTTCCACGGATTTAGTTCATCAGGACCGGTGGGTGGACGCAGGGGATAGCTCCGCGGACTCGGAATGCCAGCTGTCCTCACGAGGAGAACGTTCTGGCAGGAGACAGTTTCTGACGGAGCGAAATTGGGAGGGTTCAAGCGCGTCGTTACACTGACGACGGGCGCTGGAACGAGCCAAGTTTCGATTGCGAGTTGGGGGCGTGGGCGAGCGCGGTGCGAAGGAAGGACATAGGAGAGGACGGCAGGGGACGAGTCAAAACGAGCGGCAGCCGGCGATTGCGGCCGGGCAGAGGAGCGTAGGACGCGCGCAGGAAGGACAGCAGAGAGGCAGATGGGGAGGATGGAGGAGCAGTCGACGGAGCAAGGCGTGGCCGTATTTACTTAACTGCTGGATGGAGGGTGAGGTGGTCTTTTGCCGCGTCGAGGGCAAAGGCGGCAAGACAAGTGACAAGGGGCAGGCGGCCGGCCTCACTTAACGACGGGTCTCCAGTACTCCGTATTGACAGCCTCCGGCCGGCCCAGGCGCTGCGCTCCCAGGGTCGACAGTCGATAGTCGCCTGCGGTGGAGACGGCGAGATCCTTGTCGCGCAGCTGCTGCAGCCATTCGTTTCGCTCTCCACCCGGCACTCCGATTCCGAGAGCAGCACTCTTACGGAGTATAGCGATAGAGACAATATGAATATTACTCCGTATTAACGCGACGTCTCCCAGAACTGCGCTTGACAAGGAGAGACCATCTGGAGTTAAGATGTGCTAGTTGACTTGCTCGAGATTAGATCCAGCAATTCATACGCAGTGTTTGACTGTCCTCGCATCTATCCAGAACGTGATCTCGGAGAGCTGTTTCTCCGCTGAGCTCACCTCAGCGCATCCCAACTCGGATCAGCGCCCTCCTGATACTAGACCTAATAGTTCTCTATCTAAACTATCCAAATCTCCGGCTTACGTACGTCATCCTGCCTTTCTGGTCAGCAGTAATTAGTGAGGACGATTGTCAGCACATACTATTAGTAGTACTCGTAAGGACACGTTTCCTCTCCGCCCAGCTGGGAATGAACTAACGATTACGGGCATACTCTTATCCCAGGCTGACCGGTGGATCTCCTCCAGCCCGTCCAACGACAGACCCTGAATCTGGCCCCGGTTTAATTCTGCTTAATTCTGCTTAACTCTGATCTGGGCAATGCCCCGAGTTATCCATTCAGATTATTAATGTGTTTCTCGCACGGTCACCACTGAAATGGAACAGTACGTTGAAGACTGTTAACAGATCTCGAGTTACTACGATTTCAGAAATGAAAGCGACTGATCGATCACCTGCAACAAGACTGGATAAAATCCTCCGTGGTTTGCTCAGAATCTGCAAGTGTATGTACTCCGTACTGCACGCCACCTGGCCGAATGAAACCTTCCTGGAACGTCGCTGCTTGTGGAGAATGCCGGCGCCAATAATGGCCGCTCGGCCGCTGCAATGGCGGGGGAGGGGTACAGTCCATGCTTCTCCATCTCTCGCGACACAGACAGCCATCAACGAATAGACGAACTTTTGCACGACGCAGGTCATTTGCAGATTGGTGACCGCATTGCGTCGGTCAGGAACAGCCAGTTGAAGCACACAACCCAGCAGCCTCTCCCTTCCACGTTCATCAATTGCAATCCTTTTTTGCATCTATGGCGAAAACAAAGATCATCATCGATACCGATCCGGTACGTTAGTGTTGCAGGCAGGCTGTAATGATTATACTAAAGTCGACCTCCGATTTCTTCTAGGGTATCGATGATGTTCTCGCCATGCTTCTGGCTCTCTCCGCCGCACTGGAGGATGTCGAGGTGCTGCTGATCTCGCTGACTTTTGGCAACATTGAAGTGAGAAGGTGAGTTAAAGTCTACACGCTGTGTTCATTTCCTAATGCGTCTTATCGCAGCTGTCTCCGCAATGTCGTTTCCATGATGCATATCCTCGAGCGCGAGATGCAATGGCGTCGTGAGCAAGGCAAGCCGGAAGGCTTTGGTGCCTTGCGGGCGCATAAACCCGTCGTTGCTGTCGGAGCGGAAGAGCCGCTGGAAGACCAGAAAATGCTGGCTGATTATTTTCGTGAGTGCCTCGTCGAATGAATGCGTTTGAGTAGTCAAGTGATCTCACTAACGTAACATTATAATAGACGGCAAAGACGGCCTGGGTGGCATTCATGCCAGTGTAAGTCTATGCCTTTTCTCGTAGATGCTACTCAATCGCTTCTCGAGCATTGCTGACGTTGACGTGATAGCACCCTCACCTCTCGCCTTCGGAAACCTGGGAGCATCTGTTCGATCCCTCAGCCGACCCGAGCGTTGTCGAAACGGTGAGGACCGGTGCTACGACAAACACTCATCGATCGTTCATCCCATCCAAGCGGCCTGCCCACGAAGAGATCCTTCGTATCCTGCGGGAGAACGAACCCGATACGGTGACGCTGGTCGCCGTAGGCCCTCTGACGAACCTGGCCCTGGCAGCCGCTCAAGATACGGAGACATTCCTTCGGGTGAAGGAGGTGGTTGCGATGGGAGGGGCCGTGTCAAAGCCAGGAAATGTAAGTACAGTACACTAGAATACAGGGGGAAAAAAAAAAGGATTGCTGAACCATCTGCAGGTCACTCCGGTCGGCGAATTCAATGCCTACGCGGATGCCGTCGCTGCTGCCCGGGTGTTTGCCCTGACGTCTCCCAACCCAGCGAGTACGCTCCCACCCAGCAAGAAGCTCCCCCCATACCCGGCAAACCTCAGCAAGCAATTGAAGCTGCGGTTATTCCCTCTCGACATTACGCTTCGACACAACCTCTCGCGAGGGGAGTTCGAGAAGACAGTGACGCCGCTAGTGCAGGCCGGATCGCCGTTGGCGGAGTGGGTATCGGCCTTCATGGCTCACACGTTCCTGACGCTGGAGAAACTGCACCCGGGCCACGAAGGCGCCAAGGCGCAACTCAGCCTGCACGATCCCGTCTGCGTGTGGTACGCGCTCACGGCAGATGACCCGCGCTGGACGCCCAGCGCGACGTCGCCGGAGGACATCCGGATCGAGACTTCGGGGCAGTGGACGCGGGGGATGTGTGTCGTCGACCGACGGAATCGACACCGGATCGACAGCGAGGAGGAGAGCCCGAGTGATCACGGCCTGTGGCTGAGCGCGCGGGCAGGGAATCGGATTATCCGGATGGACGGGTCGCCGTGGAGGAAGGTTTGGAGAAGTGGTGCTCAGAACTGTTTGGTGAATATGAGCCTCAGGTATGGCTTTAGCATTCGTATATAGAATAGGTCGCCGGTGGAGGAAGGGTTTGGAGAAGTGGTGCTCAAGAAACTGTTTGGTTGAATATGAGCCTCAGGTATGGCTTTAGCATTCGTATATAGAATAGACATATCTTGTATGTATATCTGAAGAACAGAGCAGATAATCAATTGATAGATAGATAACCACATCGTATGTACTGTACTTGTACCTAAAGATTTTTTTTAGACAATCAGGTGTTGTGTGGCTCAGTTCTTGAACTCGATCGATCCAAGGAGATGAGATATATATTAGCGCCATGCTACGCCCTGCCATGCCATGCCATGCTATGAGAGGCCGGCTATTATTCTTATCTAGGAGGAGACTGGGCGTACTGGCGCTGTTGTCTCTTCTACATTATTATGGACATGGACAGACATGCAACGTGTAGTTCGTTAGTTTCGTTGTCGCTGTGGTAGGTGGTGGTGGCATGTATACTGTCCGGATATGGATATAAGAAGGAGGATCTACAGCACAATGCATAACTCTTATGCAGAGGACGATTTTTATGGTGGCGCGTCTCAAAACAATTCGACACGTTGGTGGCGTTGCTTATGGTCTCCGGGGCTTGATCTCTGGAATGTGGGCTGGGGTTAACAGGCAACCACCGGAATGTACTGTACATACATACAAGATCTTCGCTTTTTGCGCCCTCTGGATGAATGGCACACCCCATGGAGAGGTCTTCAGAGCGGCTGGCGTAGGGCTGGCGTACATGCCATGTCGTGTCGCCTCGTATCAGAGTTTGTTTTGTTTCGAGGGTCTCGCGTGTGATTGCGTAGGAGGCGTCGCGTGTGTGGATTCTGTATCCTCGCGTGCAGAAGGAGGAAAATATGAATGCTGCATCAGATTCGTGTATGTGCAGAAGCAGGGAGATATAAATGTAGCAAGGAGTGTCCCTCGTTGGGACGTTCCTTTCCAACTGTCCAGCACTGGAGTCCTCAGGTCAGGATACGACGTCTGGTCTTGCTATCAAGAAAGCATCACCATGCAGCTTCAGACTCTGGTTGCTTTCATGACTGCCGCCCTGGCGGGCAGCAGCCTGGCTGCGTCGGCTTCACCATCCCGGACTCTTCGAGGACGGGGGAAGTTGAGGGCCGACGTGTTGTTGGGAGGCCTGGCGTCATCGTCATCGGCTTCGCCATCGCCCTCGCCATCGCCGACAGCTACACCGTCAGTGTCACAGTCATTGCCAGAGTTGCCTGCAGAGTCATCGTTATCCGAATTGTTGGACATGGGCTCAACCTCCTCACCGATGGAGGCCATGTCCTCCGTCGCTCCCTCCTCACCAGAAATGGCGGCCATGTCTTCGGCTGCTGCTCCCCTCTCATCAGAAATGATGCCCATGTCTTCCGCCGCTGCTCCCTCGTCCTCAGCAATGATGGCCATGTCTTCAGCGGCCGCGCCCTCAGGCTCCGCCATGGCCGGACCCATGGCGTCCGCGTCTCCGTCCCCATCCTCCAGCATGGCCCCCGCCAGTACGGGGACTAGCTCCCGGATTGATGCAACGACGCATGATAGCCATAACCGGAAGGAGGACGATCTGTGCCTGTCGCTGTGCTCAGCGCAGTCGCAGATCTGCAGCATTGCGCTGCCGGACCATGAGGACTGGTGGTAAGTTGGACCAGCCCGTCGAGTTCATTTCCTGCATTTCAGCCAGATGAAGAATCACGGACAGCTAATTGAAAAACCATCCAGCTGGGATGTTTTCGCCGGGTGCAACCAGCGATGTGACCCCAAGGCGCTGCGGTGATTGGACGGCGGGCGAGCTGGCCGGGCACGTGAGGGTGCGACTCGCCAACGTTGGAGAAGGCGCGCACGTGCCTGGCTAAGACTCGACAAGGAAGGAACGATCGGGACGGAATCATGCCACGAGATCAGTCGACGCTCAATGGCTGTGTGCATGCCTGGCCTGCAATGGACATGATGATTTTGTTATTTTCTTATTTTCTGATTTCTGTGACGATTGCTCAAGCATTTGTTTTTTGTAGTGACTGAGTATGATAGTCAATGCAGTTTGCGCGGGTCTGCAAGTTTCCTCTGCAGCAGTTTCCTGTGTCGCAGTTTCCTCTGTAGATATTTCCAGTCGCGTGCCTGCCGGGGCGCTCCTGAGAGGCCGGCGCGGCAGCCAGTCACACTCCGCGGACTCCCCATGTGCCCGGCAGGCCTATCAGGCGTGGCCGGCGAGGCACAAGCACGCGACACTCTCTCCGCAACACCAGAGATTCAACATCTGCTGAAATCCCCCTCCTCGCCATGCTCCTCCCTGCTGCTCTTAAGAGGCGCGTCGCCCCTCGTCGTCTCCCCGACCAGCCTCCTTTCTCCGCTGCTGCTGCCCGCAGTCCGTGCTGAGCGACTGCTATTCGCTTGCTGTGTGACCTGCCGTGCACACAGCCATTGACCCTTCTGGAGGTCTTCTGCTCTCGTTTCGACCAGGTGGCAGTCGCAGTTGACTAAAACCATGTCGCCTCCCCGTCTGCCTCCGACGCCCTCCATGTCGGGCGAGCTCATCATCAAGGACCAGAACGCCGACATGCACGAGTCGTCGTTCGCCCTCCCTCCCGCCGCGCTCAGCCCTACCAGCGGCGACATGCAGTCCAAGGGCGCTGCTCGCAAGGACTCGACTGTGTCGTACTGCCCCGTTTCGCCTACTTCTCCCGATTTGGTGGCCATGGGACGCACGGCCAGCAATCCTCCCCGTCATGCGGGGACCAAGCGAGCATTGGACGAATTCAACCTGCCTCCACCTCCCACCCGCACCCGCAAGATCATCCAGATGAAGCCCAAGACCCAGCAGAGCTCGCCCAAGCCAGCTGCATCGTCAACGGCCAAACAGAAGGAGACAGCCAAGACCCCCGCCAACACGGCGGGCCAGGCCAATTCCAAGAAGAAGCAGCCCAGCGCGACGAGCGCGGCGGGCCGCAAGATTGCCAGGAAGACCGCACACAGCCTGATTGAGCGGAGACGACGGTCCAAGATGAACGAGGAGTTTAGCACGCTGAAGAACATGATTCCTGCCTGCAAGGGCCAGGAGATGCACAAGCTCGCCATTCTGCAGGTACATACATACATACATACATACACCTGGAGCTGATTACCAGAGAGCATTGGCTGACAGACGACAGGCCAGTATTGATTACGTCAGGTATCTCGAGCAATGCATCGCAGACCTCAAGGCCGCCTCCGGGCGAAGCGCTACCAAGCAACCTCCGTCGCCCACGTCGCCCGAGGTCGTCGCGGGTACAGAAGAGTCCGGCGTCAGTATGGCGGCGTCATCGTCGACGTCACCCGAGCTGCTTCCCTCTGGCGCGCAGAGCGCTCAATTTTCGCCCGCGTTTTCTCCCCGAAATCCAGGGCTTCCACAGCGACAGCCCAGTCTGGAATTTTCAACAACCATTCTCCCGAGCCCGGCGCTGGGCCCGACCCAGTCTCCGGATCGGCACTCGCACCTCACCTGGCAGGCCTCGACTCAGCCCGTGTCAGCGTCGGCATCAACGTCGACATCTCCGGCCATCCTTCCGCAGCGGAATAGCATTTCGTCGTATAGTGCCGATACGGATATTGATCATGAGGCGTCGGCGGCGCTTCTGATGCTGAACCGGGACCGGAGAGGTACGATGGATTCTGCGGCCCAGTCGAATGCCTCGTCGGAGGGCGTCCAGAAGAAAGTGGGAATGAGTGTGCGGGATCTGTTGGTGTCGTAGCTGGTCATCTGTTTTTATGCACTGTTACGCTTCCGCAAATCGGGAGGTTTTTTTTTCTGCTGTTTTTGGAGTTTGTCAGTTTTATGGCCCTCAAGGAAAATAATGGGATGAATCAGTCTGTGTTATTATCAGGTCGAAATCGGTATCGGTTTGTCGCAGCGGGAGTTTTTTTTTGGTACTTATTTATTCCAGTTCTGGGCATGATATATACCAGCTGGGTAGATATCCAGCTTGATCGACATGTATCCACCCTTCAGAAATGATCCTATTAAAATAGAGGGTATACTCATTCAATTCAGTAAGAAGTCAGGATTTGTAGCTGTTGATCAGCGACTTGCTTGTTGCAACAGCACGTGATGCAGTGATCACTTAACTTAGGGTCGTAACCCCGGTTCCAGTTATGTTTCATTCTCTTCTTGCTTTCCATTCTTGACATTTTTTCTTCCTTGACATTGTCATAATTAATTCTTCCTGTCATTGCTGCACTCGATATACTACTTACTATACGGAGGAGTTCAAATCCCGAATTAGAATTCAGTCAGTCAAGTCAGTCAGTCAGCCAGCCAGTCAGTCAAAGACAGAACAGAGCTAGCTAGCTGTCTGTATTAACTGCTGGAGGGGATATGTGCCACTAGCATGGCATGGCATGGCATTGCATGGCATGGTATATTGCATACTGTCTAGTAGACTCTAGACCATCCATTCATCCATTCATTCATTCTTCGCTTCATTTATCCTCCTGCGGCTACTGCCACCTGCTCGGATTGGTACCAGGACGACAACTTCATCCCTTACCTACCTACCAATGTACCTACCTACCTACCTAAGGTAGGTAGTGGAGCATTAGGTACCTAACAGATCATCATCAGATCATCAGATCAATTGATACTTTGTCCTCCCCGTAGAAGATATATTCAATTCTTCAATTCTTCAATTCAGCTCTGATTTTGAATATCCCGTCTCTTTCCAGCACCGTCTCTTTCCAGTCTAGTTTTTTTTTTCTTTCCCCGTCTTCCTCGCCCACGACGGCTTCTTCTTCGCCTTCTATATATAGACATGTTTGTTTGCGGCCGTGAACCACCACCACCACCTCCTGCTGCTGCTGCTGCTGCTGTTGGCGGCGGTTTTAAAAGTGTTTTTTTTTCTTGCGTGTCCTCCCCAAGACGAACGAAGCATATCGCATGTCTCTGAGAGCTCGAGGAGGTTTGTTGATATGCTGTGCTGTTTGGTGGGGGTAGTCATGTTGGTAAAGGGGTGGATCTTCGTTGTGATCGTGATCAGGATCGTCAGGAGAGGCAGACCGCAGTTGCTGTTGAGAAGAAGGGCCCTGGCTCTGGATCGGGCTCTGCGTTTGCGACGGGAGGTACAATGGCTAAGGTGGAAATGGAATGTCGAGATTAGCTAGCTCCAGACGGGCAGGCAGGCAGGCAGCAGGTCTATCAATCTGAATTGAATAGAAATTAGTTAATCTATTCCAACCTCAACGGAGACCTCCACCTACCTAGGCATACAGTACATATATAAATAGGTGCATGTACCTATCTAACATCGCGCTCATACACCGTCCTGCATCTGTGCCCGCAAGCCGATCTGGAGCTGATTACCACGACTTCCCATGACGTGATCGCCACGCCTTTGGTTCGGAATGTGTAGGCGTATTCATATTCATGTTCGTATTCGTGTTCATGTTTGTGTTCATGCTCAGATTGAAGAGTACTGGCAGAACCAGATCCGGCGCCCGTTCCTCTGGCATAATGGTATTGGACTCGATCTGTGAGAGACTCATTGCTGTCACTGGCCTTGTCCTTGTAAATATTACCACTATTACGCTGCTGCCGCTGCCGCCGCTGCTGGTCAAAGTACAAGCCGTGGGAATATCTGCTGGCGGTTTTGAGATTGTCTGCTGTCCAGACGGCGATGTGTGTGTGTACTGGCTCCTTCTCCTTCTTATTTTGAGTGCTAGCGTACGCGCGAAAGCGGTAGACTGTTCTGACGCTATTGTCGCTTCTGTCAGTGTTTGTCTCTTCGTACAGGTACTCTCCCTCATAACCCGCGTCGGACGGATAGCGAGGGTGAAAGACCGCGATGCCTGACGAGGATGATGGCGACGGGTCTGCTTGCGTCGCCTGGACTGTTCGCGAATACTTCCATTTCCCCTGCAGCGCGCGAAAGATCGCCTTGGCTGTCGACTGCTGATGGATGGAGCTGTCTGTACCTGACATGACGGCCTGGAGAGAGTTCAACGTCGTAGTCACCTCCCTCTCACTCTGCAGGCTAGGATCGTACGTCGGCGCGGCATATCTTGCAGGCACGACAGGCCCGCTCCGTCGGTCCTGGCCTGGCAGCTCGTAGCGAGCGATCCCCAGCTCTCGCGCGAACGACTCCATCAGTCCGACATAGTCGCCCATTGGGAATTGTGCGCGCGCAAGCCGCGGATCTGCGTTTCGGAGAGTGCGGAGTTGCTGCCTCTCTGCCGTTCTGCCTGGATCTTCAGCTGGAGAGGGAGACCACTGCCGCGCAAGCCTCCGAGCTTGCATCTCCATCACCCCCCAGTACGGTCCCCTGTACATGCCGACAAACCCCAAGTCAGGAACTTCAGCACGCGACGAGCCTTTCCCGTCAAGGACGAGGGGTAAAAAGGGGTCCTCGGCCGAGTACTCCAGTTGGGAGAGGACGTCCTCGGGCAAGAAGGACAGCGAGTCGAACGGGGTGAACCCCGTCGCGAACACGATCGCGGCGACGTCTTCCAGCGTTGTTGTCTCGCCGTTGGAAAGTTGGACTTGGAGCGTTCCTGGTCCGCGAGACGAGCGATGGACGGCGCAGACCCGGCCGATGGTCACTCGCACGTCTCCGGAGCGGACGAACTCGGCGTAGCTATCTGTCACGGCGACCCAGGGCGGTCGTTCCTTGGCAGCAGCACTGTTCTGGGCCAGACTGCCATCTCCAATATCCGACTGGTCCGTCCCGAGAAGAGATTTGAAGTACTCATTCACAGAAACAGAGCGCTGTGGAGGAACAGGCCCAAACCAGTATTCTACCTCCCCTGGAGGTCGCCTTGACAGATCGTACATGACCAGATCGAGAGGAAGAAACGACCCGCAGGTCTCACCGGGCGTCGAGCTGGGTAGGCAGGTTGGCACAGCCCAGAACGGCCTGGTAGAGATATGATGGACTGAATAGCCCTGCCAGCGTCTACTCGACGATCCGGATGAAGTTGCAGGCGCATGAACCGACGAGGATAGATGCAGAGCCAGCGAAGAAGCAGCTTCTGCTCCAGACAGACTGCCGCCGACGACGACCAGCTTCGACCCAGAAGGCTGCAGCTGCAGTTTCTGCATCAGCTCTTCTACGTCTCGAAGAGAGGAACTGTGGATCACCCGGTCGTTGAATTGCTCCAGACCAGGGATATCCGGGATATAAGGACAAGAGAAGTACCCGGATGCGACGACCAAATAGTCGAAGCGTTCTGCGTGTGTCTTTTTAGCAGTCTGCCCGGTTTTACCCTCCTCCACCCACTCGACCATCCAGTTGCCATGGCCATGGCCATGGCCATCATCATCATCCACATCATTAACCAATGTCTTTTTTCGCCACTCCGTCCTCACAACCCTACATCCCAACCGGAGAATTTCGCGAGGAATATACCTCTCTGCGTATCTGTCCAGGTATCTACCTACCTGCCAAGCCTGAGGGAACATTGGTGGGCCGTCACTATCACCATGACCCAGCACCGATGACGACGACGACGACGACGACGACGATAATAACTCCTCCCAGGAAAAATCAGAAAAGCACACGGAGAAACGACTGAGATTCGTGCGCATGGACGGGCTGATAAACGCAGATGCAGACGATCCATCGAATGATTTCCTTTGTCCTGGATGATGGACACACCACAACCCTCCCACCGCACGCTTCTGGTCGAAGACGACGGGCTCGAACATGCCCTTGTTGGGGATGTTGTGTAAGAGCGTCTTGGCTGTGACGAGGCCGGATGGGCCTGCTCCTGCATATTATCGGAGAAAAAAAAATGGTTATCACCATAAATATCAGAAGTTCGGTTATGAAGTATAGTAAGTTAGATTGCTGTACTGTCTGCACAGTACAGTATAGACAGTACAGTACAGTACACCCATCCATCCATCCAGTGCGGGGAAACAACTCTCACAAGACCTCTTTCTTCTCCAACGATATTCCTGAAAAATGGGCAATGAAAGACAAAGGGCGTACTTACCAACAATTGCGACCTTTTTCGGTCGTACCATTTCATTTCATTTCTTTTCCAGCTAGTTTCTTTTCATCCTGTTGAGGTTGTCGTCGTCCTGGCTAGTGTGGCTAGTGGAGGATGGAGGAGGGAGGGGCGAGGGGTAAGTTTGTTGAGTATGTCGAGCTCCGTGTTGGTACTGTATGTATGTATGTACGTACGTACTACATACCTCGTATAATAAAGATAGATTGTTTAATCGATTGAATCATTTGTCCTGTGTATATAGTGGGTTGGATCTAGGAGTATCGATTGATTGATTGACTGATCAATTAAACTTATTGATTTAATTGCTACTACGAAGTATGGGGAATACTACCCTTCCTTCATGGTCACTACGGAGTACGTCTAGGTAGATACTTCATGTTATTCACGATAGAAATGTAAGTACAGGACGTAATTAGTTAATAGACTAACAATAATAATAATATCAATACAAAAGCTCCGCAGCTACGAATCCACCAAATGACTTTCGGACTGCCTTGTCAGGCCGCTTAAAATGCACCTCCAACGGCAACCAGCTGTCGGCATTATAATTCTCCTGCACCTTCTTGCACGTCTTCAGCCCCCACTCCGTCCACTCCCACCATCAGACAGCTCTCGAACATAAACGCCATGCTCCCCTCGCCGATTTTGGTCGGCTTCAAGTCCGCATTGCTGGCCTTCTCGAACGCCTCCCGGTCCGGTCCGTGCCCCGACATGGTGTTGTGCAGACTGGCCCCCGCGGGCTGAAACCCGCCCTTCCCCGCCGATTTGGCGTCGTACGAGCCGCAGATCAGTCCCATGAACTCCGACATGGTGTTGCGGTGGTACCACGGCGGCCGGAACGTGTCCTCTGCGACCAGCCACCGCGGTGGGAAGATCACGAAATCGGCGACAGCGGTCCCCAGTCCATGGGCGTGGGACGGGCAGCTGAGCACGGTGTAGATGGACGGATCCGGATGGTCGTAGCTGACCGTGCCGAGTGTGTTGAACCGGCCCAGGTCGTATTTGTAGGGGTAGTATCGGCCGTGCCAGGCGACCACGTCAAACGGCGTATGGTTCTGGGTGGCCGAGAACAGATTGCCGCCGAACTTGCCAATGATCGTCCAACACACGTGTTGGGGCCATAGTCTTCTTCGAAGGCAGCCACAGGCAACTTGGAAGTCTCTCGGGTTGGCGAGGCCGTTGGGACCCTGCCGCTCCCAGTGGCGGGAGCTCGAAGTGGCCCTGATACAGCTCGAGGATGTAGCCCCGAACGGGCTGCTCTTCATGCAGAGTAACGCGGTAGCGGATGCCCCGTGGAATCACCGCGATCTCGTTCGGCCGAACGAGCAGATGGCCCAGCTCCGTCTGAATGTCTAGCACGCCACGCTGAGGAACGATCAAGAAGTCCCCATCGGCGGAGTAGAAGGCTGTTTTGGGTTCCATCGACTTCCCTGCGGCATAGACGTAGATCCCAATGCCTGATTTCAGACTGGGATCTCCCGCACCGGCGATCAGATTGAGGGAGTGCACCCAGTCCACCGAGCTGTCCAGGTCGAACGGATCCCACCGCAGCTGGTTGGGGATCTGATGGAAAGTGGTCTTGGCCAGGCCATTATCCGCCGCGCCGGTGCTGGTGCTCTTCAGAGGACGGAAGGACTGATGCGAGGCAGAGGGCAGGATCATGTACAGCCACGTCTGCAGGTTTGCATCGCGGGTGGTCGTCGTAAACGAGGTGCCCGACAGCTTCTCGGTATACAGCCCGTAAAGGGGCCTTCTGGGGCGAGTTGGCCGCTACCGGAGCAGCGCCTTCGATGGCCTCGGACCTGGACACATGCTGTCAGCGACCAAGCCACTCTGAGTGCTCGACGACCTGCCCGAGACATACTCATGGTAGTTGTTGAAGCCATTCAGATACTTGTACTTCTCGGGTACGCTGAACGAAGTGACGGGCATCGTACTGGTCCTGCTCGATCAGGAACGTGTCGATGTTCTTCTGGGTCAGCGGCCGGGTGCAGCGGTTCTCTCGCTTGAGGATCTCCTTCTCTGCGAGCGCGGATCGCGTGCTTTTAAACGACAGCGTATCGCGCAGCCTGCGGATGCCGGCCAGGGGCAGCGGGCGAGAGCGGGCAGGCGGGGGGTTGGCGCTGTCCCGAGGGGAATCGGCAGGACGATGACTGCGGGATTTGGCCATGGTTCGGAATTTGCAGCAGAGCAGGCAGCAGAGCAGGCGTTTCAGGGATCAGGAAGAATACATGCATGAGCGAGGAATCAGGAGGAGAAGAGAAGAGGGAGAGCGAGCGAGGCGACTTCATAGCGGGGGCCCCGGCGTAATTCCGCGCGCGGCCTGCAGCTCCGCGCTCGGCTATGACGGCAGATCACGGGGCAAGTCACGGGGCCGATCACGCGCCCCGCCGCCCTGCCATTGGCTGCACGGGCGCAGCGAGGGCAGCCAATCAGCGCGCACGGGTGCCCTGAGCCGCGTGACCCGATGACGTCTACGGAGAAAAAACAATGCGGGGAACGCATGGAGTAGGGAGCATCTCCACGTTTTCGTCTCTCGTATTCAGTCAAGCTAATCTCAGTGCTACTGCTAATGCTAGTACGTGAAGCGGAAATCCGGGTGGTCGTCTCCCAGATTCTCCAGCTCCTCCCGCGGCAGCTGGTACAGATGGTCCCTCTGCCCCTGATCCCGCAGTCGATTCTCCCGCACGATATACAGGAAGAAGAGCACGCAGCAGATGCCACACAGCCAGACCAGACCCAAACTGACCCCGTATCCCACCGGGTACGTGGGCGCCTGCGAGGACAGGAAGATGTTGCTGGCCACCAGGCCGCCGCAGTTGCCGATTCCGATCTGCATCGCGGACGCGATTGAGCGCTTGTAGTGCCCGCCCATGTTGTTGTTGAGCCATCCCATCAACACCGGCTGCGTCATGTAGCCGCCGCTGATGACTGCGTAGATGGCAAAATATCGCGCTCCCACCGGCACGGATCGTTGGCACAGGAGGATCACGTAGCCGATGGTCGCGATCACGCATCCGCAGATGGTGAAGGCGAAGCGGTGGCGCAGTCGGTCAGTGACCACGGCCGTGGTGATGGAGATGACCGCGGCGACGATGTAGATCGGGATGCTCATGACCTGAGCCCGGATTGATGTCCATCCCAGCTGGGTCAGGATTGTCGGGGTGAAGAAGCTGATGGCATACCCGGTATTCACAACTCCGAGATACATCAGAGTCCTGATAGGATTCCAGACAGTCAGCCCTGCAGATACCAGACAGGAGGGCAATGTTCATTACGCGAGATAGATCTTGACATCGGAGAAGGCGCGCTTGACGGCCCGTTTATCGAGACGATTCATGTTGGCTTCGCCAGCGTCCATGGCCAAGCGACGGGTCAGGAGCGCTCGCTCCTCCTCGTCGAGGAATTTGGCCGTCTCTGGCCAGTCGGCGATCAGGAACTTGGAGACAACGGCCACGACAACGGTGGCCAGACCTTCGATGATGAAGATCCAACGCCAGCCATTGTAGCCGCCCAGTCCAGCCATATTCGCGATGGCGTATGCAAGCAACTAGATCCGCACTTAGTCTCCTCTCAAACGGCCAGGAGATATCTCATACCCCGCTGAAAGCTCCGGCGAGGATACTGCTCGAGAAGAAGATGGAGATTCTCTTCTGTAGTTCGTAGCGTTGGTAGTACATGGAGATCAAGTAGGTGGATCCTAAGAAATAGACTTAGGAGGAGCAGTTTAGAGAGAGAGCCTGGTCACGAACCTGGCACGAATCCAGCTTCAAAAACTCCCAGCAGGAACCGGCAAGCAACCAGTCCGCCAAAACTTTGCGTAACCCCTTGACAGACCGTGATGATGCCTAACGCGTCAATCAGTATACATACAATTATCCAGGGAAAAAGAAAAAAAAAGGGAACATGATATCAATACCCCATCCAAGCATAATCGCACTAAGCCACGTCGACGGCGCCACATTCTTCAGGATAAGATTGCTGGGCACCTCGCAGAGGATGTACGGAATGAAGAAGATGAACAGCGCAATGTTGTAGTCGTTGCCTTTCATGTGGAGATCCTTCTCCAGGCCCTGGATGCGGGCATTTCCGATGTTGATGCGGTCGCAGAACGCGAGGAGGTACAAGACCATGAGGATGGGGAGGACGTGCAGGTCGCATTTCCAGAGGAGTCGTCTCTCCGCGGCAGGATCTATTGCTGTTGTTGCGTCTGTGTCCGGGGTCTTGACGGGGGCGATGCTGTGGTGGCTTGCGTTGTCCTTTTCGATTTCTGCCATTGTGTCTGCAGTCAAGCAATTCAAGGAGGCAAATTTATCGAAGAATCGAGTCCTGGAGAATGTAGAGGAAAACAGAGACCGATCGACCAGCTAGTTATACCCCAACTGTGTAGCACAGACATCACAGTCAGGGCGGCAATATTCCGTCTCTGTGGCACGACAGGAACCTGACAGCAGACGGTGATGGACAGATGGCTGGCTATTCCTGGGATTGACTTCACCTAAGACAGCCCTGTTTTCTTACCTAGGTAAGTATGTACAGTACATAACCTACCTAAGCTAAGTTAGATGATGGCCAATTTAGCCTATTTAGGCAAGTGTCCCAAGACAGAAAATGCGGGGTGCATCCATCCAATGCTGGCCACGAATATAATCCGCATCTAGTACCGAGTGTACGAACAAGTATTTGAGGCTAGACTGGTGCTACTATCTCCTCTATTCTTATATAGTATTAGCACCCAATTAGAATCTTTAAAAAATAATAGAGATAACCCTAAAAGATATAGTAAAGAAAGATGAAATGAAATGACATGAAATGAAATGAAATAAAATGACACAGAAAAACCTTGTACGTAGTAAGTAAATATACTGTAACATCCATCAATAATGGTCATTAGTTACAGTTTATTTTCAGTGATAGAAGTGGCCGTTTCAGGGACCTGCACATCAAAGCCATTCAGCACCACCGACACAAGCCCATAAAACGCGATCAGGAAGATCAGCTCACGGGCCCCATGCGGCCCAAAGAAACGAACTGCCGACGAATACAACGACTCTGGAAGAGGCCCGCCCTGCATCAATCCCTTGGCTATATCGAACGCGCACGCTTCCTCCGCGCTGAGATCCGGCGGTCGACGGCCCGCCGAGAGAGCGGCGACTTTGGCCGCGCCCAGCACGGGCTCGGCCAGCGTGGTATGCGCATACCTCTCGTAGGCGGCGCTGAAATGGGCCGCGAGGGTCAGGATAGCCACTTCGCGCACGTTGGGCGGTAGCCGGGCCTGCACGATCAGGACTTTGGCGAGATTCCAGATGGCGCTGCCGATCGCAGGTTCGTGGATCAGGGGATTCCAGGGCCCGAGAAGGCGCCTTGCTCCGTCTGCGTTTGGATGCGCGAGAATTTCGAGGGGTGGACCTGTTGCACGTCCTCATAGAGGGCTTTTTGCTCGGGCGAGAGTTCGCTGGGAAGCAGGGGCGTCAGGCGGTGGTGGGCAGCAGGCATTTTTCTTTCCTTTCTTTCTCGACAGCGGGACTAACAACTTCTTTTAACCTCCGTACTTCTGAAATGAATTGTTCTTATAGCTTATAGCTTATTCGGTTCCAGTATGCGGACGAGGATTCGGAGGTGGGATTTTGCTGGAACAGGTAAAAGACGCCGAACCGGCAGTTCATGCCCAATCACATATATAAATACATCGCCTTGAATGTCACTAGGCACCTGGTTTATGATACCAAGAGTATCAGGACATCGGCATGATTTCCCCAACAGGCGAAACCCTCCAAAGCCGACTCGGTTCGGTCGGTCGGCGATGCACCCAACTCTGCATCGGCGTTGATTCCAAGGGAATCTTCGTAACAAAGCTTGGGAAAATCGCCGCTTCGATCCCCAGACAGAGCATTGCCAAAAGCGGAAGTAGCGTGGCTAGGTCATATGTACCTGAGGGATGATGGATCACTGTACTGCCCTAATAAGGTACATACAGGACATATATAATATAGGCGTGACCAGCAGATAGGAACTCCCCTGCTGTCGCAGTCGCAGTCAACTTTCCTCGCTGATTAGACGATAGACTGAGAACCCTTCTTTACCACTCACGTTCTCATTTGAATCGATCTTGCGATTGATCATGTCTCCCCCATCACAGCCCGAACCAATCGCCATCATTGGGGCTGCCTGCCGGCTGCCTGGCGGTGCATCGAGTCCATCCAAACTGTGGGATCTCCTGTCCGCCCCACGCGACCTTCTCTCGAAGATCCCACCAGATCGGTTCGATCCTGACGGATTCTACCATCCTGATGGCGAACACCATGGTGCGACCAACGTCCGACATGCCTATCTGCTGTCCGAAGACCCCCGCCACTTTGATGCGGCTTTTTCTCCATCAACCCCCGCGAGGCGGAGGAAATGGATCCGGGGTCGGCTGCGGTCAATCAACCGGTCAAGGACTTGCTTGCGGCGTGCAAGAACGCCTCTGAGGCCGAGAACATTCTCTGCCGCGCATTATCCGCTAAGCTGGCCACCATCTTGCAGCTGTCCGCCGATGCAATCAATAAGAATACTCCCCTCGTTGATCTCGGTGCGTTTTCTAACCATCAGAAGGGCTTGTGGAACATCACGAAGCTGACAATTGCCCTCACAACAGGTGTCGATTCTCTCATTGCGATCCAAGTTCAGGCGTGGTTCCTCAAAGAGCTGCATGTGGATGTCCCAATGCTCAAAGTCATTGGCGGAGGACCCGATTGTGGCTTTGTGCCGAGAAGCTTTGAGCAAGATGTCGTTGGAAAGCAGCTGAGCAAGTGGTGAGTGGGACTGATCAAAGCCATTCCCATCAGGCAGTACTTTGTCTCATGATTGACCCAGGTTTTGCAAACCATGCTATTCTATTTCAAGGCGATGAATCTCGGCTTTTTGTAGATCGAAATGAATGAATGAATGAATGAAGATCTTCTTTGTGTACGTCAGTCAAGTCATTACTAGTTAGTTAACTAGTTAACTAACTACGGTTTATTGTCCGCCAGAAATTGACTTTGAATTTCCATTTCCATTTACTCTCCAATAAGATCGTGGTGGTCTGGCTCAAGCGGATAATGAATCAATTCCAGCATGTTTCAGGCATGGGCTTGGACGGTTCTCTGCAGCAAGATTCAACCTCACATGTTGCTAGACAGGGATGATATTCTCGTCCCAACGATCTAGATCGATCTGCATTTGGTTCAGGTCTCAATATCTCAGATTAGTCTCGTCTGTGATCTCTGTCGGCTTCAAACTAAAATTCCTCATAGATCAAGCCAAGCCATCAAGGAGATCGGGCACCAAACTCCCCCAGGCGAAGCAATTCTTCATTGGATCGGCGTCCATCCCCGGCAAAAGCCTACCTGTCGAATCGAGAATCAGATAACAATTAACTTGACGGTGGCAGTGGACCCTGCCACCCGACGTCAAAGCGCCCACTTGCAGGTGGCTTGCTGATCTCAGTGCATAATTGTGCATTGACCCCCTCAGCTAGCCATCATCAATCTCGAAGAACACCGGCTCGGCCCGTTGCAGGGACCATACATGTTATACGCGCAGATTATTGGTGCTTTCGTCGATTGCCTGCATGCAAGGTCGTGGCGGATGACCTCGCAGGTTAGCCTTTGCCTTGTGCGCATCTCCTGCGATGGAAGCCTCCATGGCCAAGCTCGGCATGCTTTTGTCAAAATATACTCATTATTACCCGTATCTGCGCTTCATCCATTGCCAAACTAGTGCAATCCCCCAGCACACCATACCCCTCTGCTGCACCGCTATCACACGTGCAGGGACCCGATCAGCAAAAGCCCCTCGTTAAAATGGTCTGTCTCTCGCCTTCGTCGACGCCATGACCCGGAAAAGATGCCCCGAGTCTGCTCTCCTGGGCGGTCTTATCCTCTACATGTCTCGACCCCAATCCATCCACGTCCCCAACCCTCACTTTGGGGTCATTGTCAATCTATCTGCCCGGCGGCTGGCCTGTGACCGCTGCCACGATCTCCGATGCACCAAGGGAGAGGATGACGATGCTTGTCTGCGTTGCTGGAGACTGAAAAAGGAATGTATCTGGAGCCCAGCACTGCGAAGTGGCAGACCATCGACCCAGTACTACCTTGTTCGTGAAGGCGATGGCAGATAAATTTAATTGTTAATATAGGAAAGATCACAGGAGCACAATACAATTCCCATCAATGTTAATTAATACCCCTTTCATTCAGAAACTTGATGATCGATTAAAGGAAGTTGTTGAGATCTATCTAACAAAAACCCAATATGAGTCTCGTGCGCTAGCTAATCCGGAAATAGGTATGAAGTCGATTTCTTCGCATTGACACCTAGGTTAGTTAGGTAGGTAGGTAGGAGGTAATGGACGATTTAACCTGTTTAAGAAAACCAAGACACTTCACTGGTTGCACGACATACAGAGTATATATTACAATACAGAGGACGAGGATTTAAGCAGCAGCATCAGTTTCGATGGGGCTAGAATTGTGCTACCGTGTCACATAATAAAAAAGGAAACAAGAAAATCTGCAGCGTCTTGCACAACTATCAACAGAACACTGCATTTTATTATTGAAGGTATGAATTCTTTTTTTTTAAAAGATTCAAATTGCTTGGATGGACCCTGACTTGATTAACCAGTAATGTTGCTTCTCTTGTAGTTTACAGTATATGGTAAAGGAGAATATATACCAGCAAAATTCTATCTATCTAAAGAGATACTCTGAAGCTCCCTATAAAGCCCATTATAAAAAAGCTCATTGTCGCGTGCAGCGACATAGATGGCCCTACAGAGTACAAGCCATCACGTGTGGTAAGGTCCATCATTGAGCACGTGGACTGTCCTTTCATTACTTCAAGGACCGTCCGTGGCCAAGTTAGAAGGAATGTTGATCCTTACATATACTTGTCTGATCGCATAATGCATCACTCATTATAAAGTCTATTATCAAACATCTATAAGAGGCTTTGCAGGAGCATCGCTACAGGCTTCACAGGCCTTCAGGATTCGCAGGCACGTGATAAGGACTGAGAATTCTTGTATGTATTTGTCCTCTACATACCCACCTTAAAAAAACATCAAAATTACTAATTAGTGTCTCCAAAGGGTCCATCTGAGCAATTGTTATTAGGCGATAAACCGTTTAGTTTCCCCGCTTTCCGCAAAGCCAACGGATGCTAATGCAAAGCTTGGACCCTGCCCCAGTCCTGTCAAAATGCCTCCGCTACAATGATTAATTGCTAAAAGAAAAGAGAGAATTCTTTGGCATGCATTGCTGTTTCAGGAATAAGAAATGAAATAGGTATGATCTGCTAGTACCTACTCTTATCTTGACTATTACTAATATTGACTACTCTAAGTAAAGACAGAGAAGAGCTCGTATATTGGCTTAAAGGAAATGGACTAATGCAGACTCGACGGAAAACAATTCCGCGGTGTATTGACCCTTGTCCATGATGCATTATCAGCTTCGACTATGGCAGCAGTGTGCCAATCGAAACTCCCCTCTACAGCACTCGACTGCACGGATGAAATTCCAGCCAGCCAGTCGGACGTGCGTTGGCAGTCTGATGATCCTGCCCCTTCGAGTATAGACTTGCAAACTCCCCTGTCAGCTTGGGCCTGCCAGCGTATTATTGCATTATTATTGCATCTGCTGCATGCGCATAGCCCCGCCTGTCCTGAAGAAGTCTGCAGATTGCTTACGCTACGAGAATGTCCATTCCCGTGAGACGCCGAACTAAGCTGTTCTGTAGAATATAAGCTCGTATGGTTCCTGTAACCTGGAATTTGCACATCTACTCTATATACAAGGGGGTATATCAGCCAGACCAGACACACATGAGCATGCCAGAATTCCAGTTCCAGTCCGTGGCGATCGCCGTCATCGCCGTCGTGTTCTTCCTCGTCCGCTACCTCAATCAGACCGACATTCCCAAGATCAAGAACCTACCCGAGGTCCCAGGGGTTCCCATCTTTGGCAATCTCATCCAGCTGGGCGACGAGCATGCGCGGAGGGCGCGAGAATGGGTCAAGAAATACGGACCGGTGTTTCAGGTCCGACTGGGCAATAAGGTAAAAAGACGATTGAAGGACAGTCCAGCTCCTTTGCAAGGCTGACTGCCACGGTCATGGATACCTAGAGAGTCGTCTTCGTGAACACGTTCGACTCGGTGAAGCACTTCTGGATCACCCACCAGTCCAGCCTCATCTCGCGGCCGACCCTGCATACTTTCCACACCGTCGTGTCCAGCTCGCAGGGCTTCACCATCGGGACGTCGCCGTGGGACGAGTCGTGCAAGAGACGCCGCAAGGCGGCCGCGACGGCGCTCAACAGGCCGGCCGTGCAGTCGTACATGCCCATCATCGACCTCGAATCGAACGCGAGCATCAAGGAGATTCTCCGCGACAGCCGGGACGGCACCGTCGATATCGATCCCAACCCGTACTTCCAGAAGTTCGCGCTGAACACCAGCTTGACGCTCAACTACGGCATCCGCATCGAGGGCAACATCGACGACAAGATGCTGCGCGAGATCGTCCTCGTCGAACGCGAGGTCAGCAATCTGCGCAGCACCAGCAACAACTGGCAGGACTACGTCCCTTTGCTGCGGCTCTGGCCGAGTCGGGACGCGCAGGCCAAAATGTGGCGGGAGAGACGGGACAAGTATCTGTCGGAGTTGCTGGATATGCTGAAGGCGCAGATCGCCCAGGGCACGGACAAGCCCTGTATTACGGGGAACATCTTGAAGGATCCGGAGGCGAAGCTCAATGAGGGTACGCAAGTAGCCAAGACAAGACGTGACGTGACTATTCCTAACTGCCGGTGCAGCCGAAGTCAAATCCATCTGCTTGACCATGGTCTCGGCCGGAATCGACACCGTCCCCGGCAATCTGATCATGGGAATCGCCTACCTCGCCTCGCCGCACGGCCAGGAGATCCAGAAGCGGGCCTACGACGAGATCTGGAAGGTGTACCCGGACGGAGACGCCTGGGAGAAGTGTCTTCTGGAGGAAAAGGTGCCGTACATCACCGCGCTGGTGAAGGAGGTCCTCCGATACTGGACGGTGATACCCATCTGTCTGCCTCGGGTCAGCGTCAAGGACATTCCGTGGCAGGATGCGGTCATTCCGGCGGGCACGACGTTTTTTATGGTGAGTAAGACACAAATCCCTGGTATACGCCTTCTATCCACTGCAATAACGATTTCAACCTGACAGCAATGCAAATAGAACGCCTACGCAGCCGACTACGACGAAACGCACTTCAAAGACCCCTTCACCTTCAATCCCGACCGATACCTGGACGTAGCCGACGGGTCAGGCACGCCTCATTACGGCTATGGCGCCGGCAGCCGCATGTGCGTGGGCTCGCACCTGGCCAACCGCGAGCTGTACACGGCGTTTCTGCGGCTCATCTGCGCGTTCGAGATGGTGCCGGCTCAGGATCCGGTCGACCAGCCGATCCTGGACGCGCTTGACTGCAACGCCACCAAGACGAGCCTGACGCTGGATCCGAAGCCGTTCAAGGTCGGGTTTCGGGTAAGGGACCGGGCCCGGCTGGAGCGATGGATCCGGGGGAGTGATGAGCGGACGGCTTATCTGTAGCATGGCAGATGATTGCATTTGGGAGGATACGATATAATTCTATATCCGATTTGTTGCTGTCACTCATCTCTGTTACATTTACGATCTACGACCCATGATTTGCCCAGTAAGCGGGAGTTTGACTATATATCTGAGAATCGTTCAATCAAAACCTTTTCTTTCTTATCTGACAGGTAGACTCCTAGCTAGGAGTGAACTAGAATCTGTAGGACAAATACAAGACAACAAGACAGATATATTATTTTGAGAAATCAGGTACATCCTCCGTCTCCTGCCCGTTATCAACTTTTTTCTAGCATGATTCGAAAGGATTACCGTGAATCATGTAGATTCTTCAATTAAACTATTGCTAGATAGATAGAAATGTATTGACCTAAATATAAACCTCTTTCTCCAATAATGGCGGGATTAATAATGGCTGGAATCCCCTCGCCATTCCGTTGCCTGCAAACCGGCGAACCCGGCAATAGTATATTTATTATACTCCGTATATATGCAAGAGTTTCTTTGACTGATGCTATATCAGTGGAGCAGAAGCAGTTAGAAAAATATATATATATCACAAACAGATCATCAGACAAGGTTTCTCGGACTGGAATATAGATTTCTTGGTAGGGTAATCCCATAATTAGCAGTTTCAATGTGCATTCATGGATCAACCCCTAGATAGTCCTAGATAGGTACAGCATATGTATGTCGATGGCATCGTATCTACCTAAAATAAGAGAAGGGAAGTATCCTCCCCACCCTATGCAAACAGCCGTGTCTGGGGTGCAGGACAGGACAGGGCACAGACCTGTCGCACTCTGTTTCACTCCGTTTGCAGATCTTCCCACGAGGCTGCTGCGATGATCATTCGGAGAATATCCTGGCTGTGCCTTGACGTTGTAAGTGCGGATCAGCAGATAGACATCAACAATGCAGGCAATGTCTATCTATTACCTGATTAGGAAGTCCTATCTAGAGATTCGTAAGCTTCTTTGCAAAGAATACCTAGTTAGTTATCTTGATCTTCCCTTTTTACTGCGGCAGTGGCGGCCGGTATGTCCTGCGCACGGTGTTAATTAATTCCCCACCCCACCTGATTAATGTCTTGCAGCCAACTCGTGCTTTGATGCTTATTCTATGCTATCGCTTTGGGGGCGGAGCCAAGGCGCACAGCCCTTGCTTGGCAGCAAACAGGATAAATTCCTCCAGCTTAGTATTAGTAGGTGGTAGTGGATGATGAGGGCTAAACCTTAAACGATTACTAGTAGCATTAATCAAAGAAAGGAAGAATAGAGTTATCACACAGATGCACCTTGCAGTGTCTCACTCACAACGTGGGCTGCCCCACTGGGGTCTTCCACCGGGCGAGATCGGCACAAAGAATGGCCCTGCGAGTCATTTATGAATCTCCTCTGTACTGTGCAAGGAATACTCCTCAGTCAGCGCACCTTGCAGTCGCAGAAACGGCAGTTGTTTGTACTGTACCTGGTGTATACAGTCTGTGCTCTGGAGGGGGTTTCGCAAAATCGAGCCGTGTCCCACTCATGCATCTCCCCGATGGAGATCACCAAGGCTGCCAGTCTGCCACATGGCAGCAACGTGCGAGCAAGGGAGCGACCCTAGTGATCCTTCCGGCTGCAAGGTAGCGACAAGAATGTCACCTCGCTGGCCTCAGGTTAAGCATAATCATCGCCCTAGCGAATGATGCAAGGCACAGGGATCACGCTATCGCATCCCCAGATGGCCCATGAGCTAGCCTTCACTACCTATCTGGCTAGGTCTAGTCGAACGGATCTCGTTTTTCCCGATGACTATGCCGGTGCTGATTCAACCCCAGAGTCACCGACTCACAGACTCACAGCAAACCGGTCACCGGTAGGACAGGATAAGATTTTAGCAGAGTCATTATGGCTCACCCCTCATTACTGTCCTCCTTTGAACTTAATTCCCGTCTCTTTGTCTCGCTCGTCCTTCATATCTTCCCTCGAAGGACAGACGACATCTCCCAATGTTCCTTCATTATTGACTGCCTAGGCAGACTGGCCTTTCTTTTGACCTGACTGCCTCTGCCATCAAGTCAAAAATGGAACAAGCCGCTTTGTACGGCAAGCCCGTGCTCGTCTCGACCGGGATCATCTTTTCGATCCTGCCCACCATCGTGGTTGCACTTCGCTTCTTTGCCCGCAGAGTCGGCGGAACAAATCTAGGTCCTGATGACTGGATCATGATCCCAGCTCTGGTGAGTTTTTTTTTTTCGGCGATTGTCTTCAAAATCCGGCCTGGTCTGACCTTGTTCTATCAGCTTATCTGCATCGCCATGGGAGTCATTCAGATCATCGGTGAGTCAACCAGCTGAATCACAACGAGGCTCTCGCTAACGGACCTCGCAGCCGCCGAGAGAGGAGGGCTGGGACAACACCAGATATTAGGGCCGAATGGGGAACTCATATGGACGCCGCAGCTTCGCACCTATGAACATGTACATACATACTATCCTCGATCTCCTTGCGAATCAACAGCCAACTGATCTCTCTCGACCAGTGCAAATATGCTCTGCAGGTGCTCGGCACCCTCGAGCTGGGGGTGATCAAGGCCTCGATCCTGCTCTTTTACCGCCGACTCTTCACGCTGCGGAAGCATCTCATCATCAACAACGTCGTCTTCGCCGTCGTGGTCGCCTGGGGCGTCGCCTTCACACTCGTCATCGTGTTCCAGTGCCTCCCCGTGTCGACCATCTGGACCCAGTTCGAGATCGACTACACGCCGTACTGCATCAACCAGCAGGCCGCGTACATGGGGCTCGCCGTGTCCGATCTCATCCTGGACCTGCTGATTTTTGCACTCCCGGTGCCGGTGGTCATCCAGCTGCGACTGCCGCTGCGGCAGAAGTTTGCGGTGGGGGGCATTTTCCTGCTGGGCTCGGTGTGGGTGTCCTCTCGATCCATGCAGCACATAGATGATGCTGACCTGAATTGAATAGCGTCGTGGCCGCCGGGATTACGCGCGTGGTCGTTTTCGCGCAAGTGATTGCTTTTGCTCACGCATATCCTTTGGTGTACTTTACTGACATTACTTGTACGAATATCACCGTTACCCTCCCGGGAAGATGCAATATCTAATCTAACGTTTACTATACGTTTGCAGACTTCACTGCCGATACACTGTTCTGGACACTGCTCGAGAACTCTATCGGCATCATCGGCGCATGTCTGCCGGCCCTGCGGCCGCTGTTTGTCAGCATGCCCTCGAAACCATCCTCGTGGGCGACGCCATCGTACAACCGCACGCCTCGGGCGAAGAACCCTCTGTCGTCGACGGCGTCGTCGCGGCCCCCCCAAATTGAGCGGCGCAGCTCGGACGACGACGGGTCCTTGTCGGCCCTGCGCGACAGGGCGTTCAGGCCGGCGGGCCATGCGATTGTGAGCGAGGCGCGGGCAGAGGTGGTCAGTCTGCAGGACATTCCGGCGAACGGGATCCGGGTGAAGAACGATTTTCACAGCGAGGTAGCATAGATGCATGATTATGGACTGGTGAGTAGTCTAGAGAACATGGTGTTGTACTGTACATATACTGACTGATGTAGTGATTCCTGTATGTCTGTACTGTACTCTACATATGATACCACTGTATAAGTGATACCATTGTCGGTTCTGGATCAGTCTCTCTGTCTTTCTTTCTCTCTATATTCTTTTCTAATATCATTATGGAGCGTCTCGGTAGATAAATCCATAAATCCCGAATATGACAGGATAATCTCCATTTTTCCCGGTAGAACCATTTACATACACCAGCACATTGCATAAGTTACAAACCGTACATACATACGTAGTAGGTGGGTCCTAGGCACATGTACAGTATGTGCATACATACATGCACATGTGCATGCACTATATACCTAGGTTGATAGGGTTCATCGAGTAACAATGCGGTTAAACCCGATGGTTGACCCGATTATCCGTGGATATGATGGATCGACGAACCTAATTTCCTCCCGGTGGGAGTATCCACGGAAGATACAAAATATAAATAGCAGTACTACTAAGTACTACCTAGTAACAATCATTTAGTAACGTTACACACATGCATGGGGCCGCGCATGGCATGCCTCTTTGGGTACAGTACTTAGGGCACAGAACCAATCACCAATCACTGCTCGAGTTCCGTGGTATGTCCGGTTCAACTTCCTGGGGTACTCCGTCCAGCACAGACAAGTCTCGTTATTATTGTCTTAGATATCCCATCTCCAGTGGGTCTGTGCTATTATAATCGTTGAATGGCAAATAAGTCTGTCCTTGTAAACGGAAGCAGGCTGAACAGTACGGGCTGAATCGGAGGAAGGAGCGCACGGTGACACAGTCCGGGAAGGCGCGAACAATGCCTTTGTTTTGTTGTTGCCGGGTCGCTCCTTCCGTCGATGACATGACAGCGCACGAGGGGCAATCGCGACTGCGGGCAGGTGGCGGGGCGGTGCAAACTGGGCAGGAACCAACCAGCGGGCAGCTGCTTGTTGCTTGTACAGTAATCCACGCTGTGATCGCTGCATTGTTGTTGGTAAGCCATCGTTGCCTGTCGCCATGTAGCTGACAGGTCTCTTTTTAAACACTCCTGTCGACCTAGTTGACTGCTATCTCCGTCTTTCTCAGCTACTTGACAGCAAACATGGTGCAGGTCCAGGAATTCGTCGACGCACTGCGGGCCAAGCTCTCCAGCGACTCTCACGTCCTGACAGATCCTCAACACGCAGAGTTCAAAGACTCCCTGCAACGATGGTCCAATATCGACTTGAAGGTGCCAAGGGCCATCGTCCGGCCTGCCAATGAGACAGACGCTGTCACCACGGTCAAAGAAGCCGTCAACGCGTCCATCCCCTTTGTCTGCGCCTCTGGTGGCCACAGCACCTGGTCGACCATCGACCAGCATGGCTTTGTTCTCGACCTCAGTCTCTACAGAGAGGTCGTTCCGGACCCGGCCAACAACGTTGTCACCGTCAAGGGGGGCGTTCTGATGAAAGAGCTGCAGCTGGCCCTGAACAAGGCTGGTCAATTTACCAGTATGCACCGACTGCCATGTGACAACCTCGTGACTAACATTGTGACCAGCTGTTGGCAACGGCAACACCGTCGGCGTCATCCCGTACTTCATCAACGGTGGCATCAGCATCTACACGCCGTTGATCGGCTTTGGCTCCGAGAACATCGTCTCTGCCAAAGTGATCACCGCCACCGGCGACCTCGTCAATGCCTCCGAGACGGAAAACAGCGACCTGCTCTGGGCCGTTCGCGGTGCTGGCCAATTCTTCGGCGTCGTCATCGAACTCGTCATCCGGGCCTATCCTCTCACCCGCATCCCCGGAAGCGACGACGGCACCCGGCAGCTGGGCAACTTCGTCTTCGCGCCGCAACAGATCGGCGACGTCTCGCGCGTCCTCAATGAAACGCTCATCGCCCATCCAGACCGCATCTCGGCCGGCCACTTCATGATCATGACCGCCCCGCCCGACTTCCAGCAGCAGATCCTCCTGGTGGCGCCGCAGTTCTTTGGCACCGCCGAGGAGGCCGCCCAGGCGTTCAAGCCGCTGGTCGACCTGGGCCCGATCCAGCACATGCAGCTGCCGTCCACCTTTGCGACGCACAGCGACCATCTCGAGGTCATGTGCGCCAAGGGGGAGTTCAAGCGCTTCACCCAGATCGGCATCGACGGCTTCAACCAGGAGAACTTTGCCAAACTGGTCGACCTGCACCGAGAGCTGCTGTCGACCTGTCCGGGCGCCGGGCGATCTGCTTTTTCATTGGAATGGCATTCGCCGACCAAGTCGCCCCGAGTCGACACGTCTTTTGGGAACGAGCATGTTGATTTCTGGCTGTAAGAATCGTCATCATCATCATCACCGCACTCCAGAAAGGGTTTACCCACGATCTGACTACGATATAACAGGAACGTCCTCTCCTGGTACACCGACCCGTCCCAACATGATGCGCTCATCCGGCTCGACAAGGCCGCCCAGGCGCAGATCCGCGCCGGCGTCGACGAGTCGGCCTACGTCTCGTACACCAACACGTCGCGCGACGATCCGCTCGAGTGGCGGTACAAGGGCGCGGAGCGGGTGGCGCGGCTGCGCGAGCTGAAAAAGAAGTGGGATCCTACGGGGGTGTTTACGAGGGAGCTGTTGTAAGCGGGTTCCCTACCGAGGTATGTATGTATGTACTGTACATGTATGTACTGCACATACACATCTATTGATATGATATGATAACATAACGGAATATGAAATGGAAATGAAAATAAAAATAATAAATAATAAATAAAGGTAAATAAGGGTAAATGAAGAGAGGATTTTTTTTCCCTCTTTGAATAACTAGAATATTATTGAATAACTAATACCTAGGTAGGTAGGTAGGTATTAGATGACAGGTTCATTCATTCATCCATTCCATGCTCTTTTACAATCTATAGAATTAATTTACCGTCCTTTTTTTTGTAATAGTCTTTACGTACTATCCTATATATTATTCTATTCTATTCTCTTCTATTATGAAACTAATTGCTAATTAGAGGATGTTTTCTGGCTGTTGCTGTTGACTTGCTGTACTCGGATCTCGGGTAGAGTAGCAGTATTAGCAGTCGTCTCCTCCGTCTCAGAAGAATGGCTTTTAGCCAGCTGACCCGTAAGATCGTTTACGTTCATGCAGCTCGAATGCGAATGCGAATGTGAGCGCTTGAGAGAACTCTTCGAATTTGTCCGCGACAGTCGGATGCTTGCGTTTGGGGCCCGTGGCAACACGGGAATCCGCTCTGCTCCTGCATTCTCTGGATCTAGATGCCTGTCTCCCAGGGCATCCTTTCTGGATGGTTTCAACGACTCCAGATCAAACAGGTCCTGGATTCGCTTGCGAGGACCGCTCCGTGAGAAGAGTCCGAGCTTTTGTTGCCATCGGTGCGGCTGGACCGTCCAATTCTTCTCAATGGAATTGCTCTCCGCATCATCATCTTCCGCCTGTCTGTCGTGGTCGAAGTTGCTGTTTCCATTTCTATTCCCGAACCACGATATCTGCGTACTCAGTCCTGGAGTATCCGGATCTGATCGCAGGGCCTTTTGCTTGGACCGCCGCCTCCTGTCTCGATTACGATTCCGCAGGAAAATCGCAAGACCAGAACATAGACTGACCGCGATGAAGAAAATACCAACAACATAGAACGCCTTTGTCTCTTTGCTCCTTCTCGAGCTACAATGAGCGTTGACCAGCGTCGTGTCCTTCCTTGGGTAACACATTTCGCATGCTTCCTTTGAGTCCTTGCTGGCATGGTCGTTTGCGGTTTCGCACTGCTTCTCCAGATCCCGTATCTGACAAACTGCCTCCTCGCACAATTCTCGACGGCCATGTGTATTCTTTGCGCCCTGGTTCTCGGACCAGTTGGCGACGCTTTTTGGACCAGCGTGCGGTGTGGGATCTCTTCTTTGAACTGCCTGGAAATGGTGACTGCCGTGGACTGACCCCTGATCGATGAGTCTGTGTTCATGATATCCGTCTTCGACTCCATCGTTGTCTTCACGTGTCCTCTCCACAATGTTTCCAATCACTCTTCGGCAATAGTCGAGCAACCCGATCATCGAAGAGGAAAATGGACGGTTCTGTGCTGCATTAAGCGAGGCTTCCTCGAGAATGTCTTTGCACTTTTCCAGATCCCGAAGAAGCGGATTGTCTTGGCATCTCAACGCAATCGCAGATTCATGAGGTCGATGACGGAGATCTCTCGTCCGTGAATCGGAATTGGAACAATCGTCGTACCTTCCCACCACAAGTGGACTATTATAAACGCCGTATCTTAACTGAGCTCGTGTATCATGCCTTCGTACTGTCTTGTCGGAGTCCGCTGCAAGCGGCCCTGGCTCTGGCTCTGAATTCTTATCCGTCCCGCTGCGAGGCACAAGGCACAGAACCACTGCTACGCAGCAGAACCAGAGCAAGATCCCATTCTGCCGGCGATGATGCATTGGAAATGAGCCCCGTCTGCTTGAAAACAGGAACCTGGGAAGGAGCACTGAACTGCTAGGTCTGAGAAGCGGTAAGGCTAAATGCGCAATTTTGCTAGCAGGATACAGCAGCTAGGACTGACTGTTGAGTATCGAATGTTCAGAACCGTAAGATGGAGAATTCCTTGCTGTGAAAGTCTTGCAGGGCTGTGTATGTGCATACTGGAGTTCTGCAGATTGTTTGGGAAAGAGCTGGGCCAACGCCCAAATATCCCGATATGGCAGGTACTCTTCCACGTCGTCACTACTCCGTAAGCACAACTACAGGATCTTGGCTCCTCAGAACTAGAACAATATCTCGATCTCCAGATAGTTGCACTATTGTCATATTCGAGAATCAGCAGTCCATAGACTGCTTGCCATATCAACCGTATCTTTGGCGCTGTTCGTAGAGAATGCTACTACGAGCAGGTTCATGTATTATACGTAACTCGCATTACCAAATCTAATATTGCAAATGGCCACCCAGATAAAATAGATGGAAAGGAAATCCCAGGAACAGACGTGCAATACGGTTCCTCTGGCAACATCACTCATAACTCATCAAGCATGGAAGAAAAGCGATAAAGGGCAGGCGTCTGTTCAATACGTCTCTCCGGAATCCACATACGGGTCGAAAGCCTCATATCCATTCGAGGAGTGTAATCCCATGGTGCCGACAGGAACGTACGCAGGACCCGGCATCCCGTAATTCGTCGAATACGGCTCTTGTGTCGGCATGAGTCGTTGTCTGATCGCAGTAGACTCTCGCATAAAGTCGTCCAGAAGCTGTCGCATGTTCCACCTTCGGAAACCGTATTGAAGGATCCCTCGAGTATGGTTCAGACAACTGACAGCGCGTGCCACACAATTGATACGGTCCTCGGCAGCCAGATACGGCGGCTCTGGGATCCCCAACGGCACAGGAGGTGGCTCCGGCATGGAATTGCTAAGTAATAGGTCGTAGCTCTGGTTCAAGATCTCGACAAACCTCTTCCCAACTTGGTAAGCTCGCTGAACATCCACATATGTCGCAAACGGAAGTCCGTTCTGGTTCTCCAGCGCCTGATGCAGCTGGCTAATGTAGTCGATGCAGCGATCGAACAGGAGGACTTTTTTGAAATCGCAAATCACCGGGTCGCGATGTGAAGGCGAAAGAAAGACAACCGTGCTATAAAGGAGCTCCAGGCGATAGAGGGCGGTGAAATGATTCGGAACGTTCTTCGGCGCTTTGTCAAACCAATCCCGCGCATTGGCACACAGGGTCCATGTTAGGACCAGCGGCTGGGGGGAAGCGTGGTGACCGTTGAAATACATCTCCTGGTATCCAGACGAAAGAATGCGGCGAATTTTGAAAAGATGGATGGCAGGTTCCAGGCTTTTGAGAAACACATTGTGCTCCTGCGTAAGGGAGCTAGATGCAGAAAAACGAGGCATGTTGACATTAATCGAGTCATCAGAAAAGAAAAGGAGTGTCCCGAGGACGTGCCCACGAGCCTGGCTCGGAAGTTAGCTTGAAACCTTAGAGAAGGAGGAAAAGATAGGCTGTCAGAACTAACCTGTCCAAAGAGTAGATACAGTAAAATAGTCGGCGTCGCTGGTCTAAGCGGTCCTGGTCGGGAAAGACCTCCACTGGAGGATCCTGGTGAAGGCCCAAATCGACCATGAGCCTGGCCGTCATTCCCACTAGAAATCGCTGTCGAAAATGCTCCGGGTCCACCAGCGAATACTGGGCAAGAAGGAGAACGGCTTGGATGCCTAGCATCGACCCTGGACGCAACACATCTTCCGCATAATCCAGTGCGGCAGAGACCAGAGACATTGCCCGCTGAGAGTTGTTGTTCAATCGCTGATGAGACATGGACGCAGACGCAATTGCCAATACCATCCGTAGGCTCCAGTGATCGAAGGGCTTCGCGAAACGGCCCGCATCCTGATAAACGGCGTCGACAGACGTCCAGAAGGCGGTCTCAGTAAAGAAAGGCAGCTGGACGAAGATGTTGTCGAAGTAGTGCTGGATCAAAGTCGTGGCTTCATAACGCGGCGGCAAGGCCTTGGAAGAGAATCGGGGAAGCGGTTCGGCGGAGGCCATGGTCAGGAGGAGCTGCGCAAACGACACGGTCGACGTGATTCCCCGGAAATCCCGTGATGTCGCATTGACGGACCTGCCGTCCCGTGAGTCCTCGTCCAGACGAACCCAAGACGTCGTTCACCAACAGAAATCCAAAGTCACCCACGAGATCATCGATATCCGACACCTCCTTGCGATGAGCGCTCGGGCTCTGGCCGTCCACCGAAATGGAGGTGATTGAGCTCTCTGGCACGCCGTCCCCGCCAGTCATGGCAAGCATCTGCTTGCGACGACGGATTTCCCGGAGCTGCTTCTCCAGTCTTTCGCAGTAACCCTCCAGCGACGCGACATAGCTCCGTTCTTTGCCTTTCGCAAACTCATCGGTGGCGCCGGAGCAACTGCTGGCCTTGCCCGACTTCTCGCAGGCCGTGCAGGCGGGCAATTTCCCATCACACTTGACCTTGGCGGTGCGGCACCTGGAACAAGCGGCCACCGGGCGACTCACCTTGAGGACGGGGTTGTCCAGGAACGAGGAAGAGGACATTTTGAACTCTTACATCCTCCACGGATGCACCAGTAGTCCCTCTCGCGGGATAGGCAGCTCTTAAGGGACACAGACGGGCATCTGACGGTAGGAACAGTCTTCTCGCGAGCAGCAGTGCATTGGCCTGGGAAAACCGATGCGGGGCGAGCTGAGCTTTCACCGGCTGCGATGAAGGTCGCTGTGGTTCTGATTTCCGCGAGAAGCAAGCAATATTATGTAACGGGGTGTTCAACGGTTCTGCGACCAGACGGTAGATTGGACCTGCATGGGCTGCCAGAAGCACAGTTAGCTCGATTCTTACTTCTTAGCAGCCGCCCTTATTGATACCAAACCAAAGGACCCTCACTGGCGGCTCCGTCGGCACCAGCAAAACAGCCGCGTCCCAAAGGTCGGGCAGCTATAGCAACCAGACACTAATTGCCTGAGACAGGCTAGGGGTCGGCAGCACGAGACTGTCGGCAATAACGAGCATGTGCATCTCAGATCCGACTCCTGCGCTGTGGTGCGCTCCACAGAGGATGCGCCGCGCGCGCTTCCTGCCGGTTCCGGACGTGCCTTTCTCGGGGTCCGTTCCAAGGCTTTCGACTTTCGCCTCAGGAAAAAGAAGACGGGCCTGCGTGGTAGGAGAAGAGGACGGGTTTTCTGGCAAGGTGAAACAGCGCCATAGCAGATGCCGTCGTGATCGACTGCCTGCCTGCAAACGACGGCCCCGTGCTGGTGGGCGTCCGCTGTATCTCGGGGGCCAAATTCCCCGCCGGTGATGGGACTTTTCGCGCTGCGGACTCCAAGCAAAGCCTCCCGCAGCCATGGCTGCTGCCCCTCGCGAGCGATTCGCCATTTGCCTGCCTGTTCTGACTGGTCTCCGTCGCAGCAGCTCCTCCCCACGCTTCCTCCCCGCCCACAACGGCTACCGACGTCCTCAGCTGCTGCGGTTGGCTGCTCGAGTCTCACGAACGGCGTCAACCCACTGCCCATGGGTCGCTCGTGGCAGAGCAGCGCGAGCAGTCCTGCAGAACCCTGAGAGAACTCCTTTCTCCCCGACGACGCCACCCACTCCTGCTGCTCTCGACTGGGAAAAGCTCCCGTCGTGAGGATCTCCTTATCACGCCCGATCAATCCTTTCGCAAGACGCGCTCAACCCAGCAAGCCGCACCCGACCTCTGCCTTCGCGTGCCGGTTGTGAATACTGACGTGCGAGTCGAAAAGAAGGTTCCGGGACGTTTTGTGGTTCCCATGCGGGCTCGTTCATCACAGAAAGCTTCATTGAAACGTCTCGAGAATGGTGACAGACCATGAGCTTATTCATTGCAAAGCCCTTGTCCTTCTCTTCCGGTAGCCTGTGCCCTGCGTCAATTCTCCTCTGATCAAGCCCCGCCATCCCCCCAGTGCAGTCTGTCTACATGCCAACCCCCGCCCGAAGACCCGTGCCAGATCAGCTTGTCCAGAATTGACGTCCAAGGAACCGCGATGGCGGACCAGAGGAGTCCGCCATCGTCGCGGCCAAACTTCTCCAATCCATGGAAACCGGCCCCCTCGTCCAAAGGCTCGTCGGACGTTCCTGACGGCCGGATCGCGTACACGCTGACCGCCTGTATCCGATGTAGACAGGTAAGATCCTGGTCCCAGTCTACGGGAGTATTGCAGCGTCCGTGCTGACGATTTTTCCCGGTGAAGCGCAAATCCAGGTGCGATCCCGGTATACCCCGGTGCGAACCCTGCGAGCGGAGCAACGCAAAATGCGCATATTTTGATCCTGCAAGAAACTGCACGATCCCGCGCACCTGGATTGTCCAGCTGCGGGAGAGAGCTCGAGCGTTGGAGAAAGAGATTGCGGCCGCGGAGAAGGAAATTCAGCATACCGCTGATGCGGAGTTGATGGTGCGCGGTGCAGGTCGCATCAAGTTCCATCCCAATGACGAGCCTCGATACCTGGGCCCGTCCAGTGGCATCGCCATCACGCGCTTGGTGATGGAGATGGCCAAGCAAAATACCGATTCGAAAAGCATCAAGGATGTCGTGCCCGAAATCACGGCTCAGGAAATCCGAGACATGTTCACCAAGGAGAGCTCCAAGCCGACCTCGAAGGTGTACCCGATGATCAGTTCTGTGCCGCAGGAGAATCTTCCACCCCAAAACCTGACATCGAAACTCATCGATCTCTACATGGTCAAAGGTAGTCCCCCGACGCTCTGGGCTGCGGGAGAGACAGGCAAGGATGAAGCTAACGGCCACTGCAGGTCAAGCCATGCTTCCTACACTCCACGAGCCAACGTTTCGCCAAGATGTGGAGGATGTCTTTAACGGCTCAACGGATCCGGTGAAGAATTTCCAACTTCGCATGGTCATTGCCATCAGCATGCAAAAGATAAGTCCCGACTACGCAGGCTTGGCGGACAGCTATTACCTGGCTGCACTCCCCTACTTGGAGGCGTCCCTCAAGAGAATGGATCTGAGCTCCTTGCAATGCTTGGTTCTAATCGCCCAGTACTCCCTGGTGACTCCGACTAGGACAGCGGCGTATTGGGTCGTCGGTCTGGCCGTGAAACTGGCTCAGGAACTCAGAATTACGGAGGAGGCCACCATCACCAAGTCGCCCACGGGTGAACCTTTGAACTTTCTAGAGATCGACATGCGCCGGCGGCTCTCCTGGATTGTCTTCTCGATGGAGTTTGGTCTATCCCACAGCCTCGGGCGGCCGAATGCCTTTTGTATCAGCCATGATCATGTTGATGTCAAGTGGTTCGAGTTGGTCGATGATCGCTTCATCACTCCCCAAGGAGTGCTCCCGGGCAGCAAACCGGTTATGGCCAAATGCATCGCGATTCATTTCTTTAAGATGCGGCTTTTGCAAGCAGAAATCCGACGCACCCTCTACCTTAACAAACGAGAAACTCCCGTCGACGATCAGGATCCCTGGTTTGCTCAGATGCTTGCCAAGATAGATCATTGGGTGGCATCCTGTCCCAAGAACGACGCTGGTAGCGGCTTGAACGAGTCCTGGTGAGTGTTACAGTGGATGTTAATATCGATATATCGAACCCTCCCCCTTCTTCCTTTTTTTTTCTAAAAAAAAGAAGGGGCATGGCTAACTATTACCCTCGAGTTGTAGGTTTCAAGGAAGACGGAACACAATGATTGTCATGCTGTTTCGTCCATCACCCCAGATTCCAGAGCCGTCAGTCAACGCTGCGCGTAGGTGTTACGACGCCTCGGTGTTCAATGTCGGGTTACAGCGGGAACAAATTGCAACAGGCTCGATCGACTTGACGTGGGCATTCACGCAGTCACTCTTCATGGCCATCAACACCATCCTCTGGTCTCTGTCCTATCCAGAAATCCGTAAAGAGCATCCGATCGAAGAAGTTCAAAGCTATCTCCAAGTCGCCCTGGAGGGGGTGGCGCTGGCCGCCGAGAGGTGGCCAGGCGTCGAGTCTGCTTTGCACCTGTATAAGAGTCTGATCACGGCTTGCCTGAAGGCGTACGACACCGGGGAATCCTTTGTGGTCCATTCACCGTCGAACCACCCGTCCCCAGCCTCGGCCCAGGATGTCACTACACCACCCAACATGTCCAGCCCGTCTAGCAGCACAACAACCTCGTTCTATCCCATGCACAATGCCAAGTCCACTGGTCCTTCTGTCTCTGACGGCGAATCCTATGGCACCATCTCGCGGGGGCCGTCTGCGGAACCTCCACCCCAATTTCCGCCTGCAACAACCCCGTCGGCGCCGGCGACTCAGCCATTGCCGAAAACATTGCATCTCCCCCAGGAAGTACTTCCGCCCCATCTCCAACAAGGTCCGCCAACCCAACCGCTCCAGGAATCCTTATACAACCTCCAGCCATATGCTCCAGCGCCTGCTAGTTATTCCCAAGCGAATTTTGACCCGACTACTCCATTTAACGCTTTCCCCTCCGTGCTTCCTGGCCTTCCAGGCTGGGATCCGAATTATACCGCAGCATCAACAACAGCCAGCCACCTAGCATACGTCGACGCAACTGTCGATCCCATGCTCTGGCTTGGCTCTATTGGGGATCAATACTCGCAATACTCCAATCAGCCTTTCCCGGGCCGGGGACGCACTCTGAGTCAACAAGAACAGATTGAACTGATGGATTCCCTTGAGGATAATATCCCAGATGTATCTGCACAACTGTTGGACCAGACGGCCATCTTTTACCACTCGTGAGGTTCTTGTTGCTGCCGTCTTACCTTTTTCTAGAGAAACCTTACTGCGCCTTATGCGGAGTGCAGGGAAGATCGTGTATGTACACGAGGATGGTTCGCCCATGATGGCTGTTCCAGCCATTGTGTAATGTTTTGCTCTTCTTCGACCTCCTTTGATCACTGCATCCAAGGCCGTCCTGACGGGTGAAGGAGAACAGTGGACAGTCAAAGATTCTTTGTTCCACCCATGATTGAGGCCAAACGGGTACAATATACGCCCTGGCAAAGCAGGTGCCAGCGGTTCACCAGAATACTTCCTAAAATCGACAGAGGTCCCACTGGTAGCCGAAAGTCTGCCGAACACATGAAGCTTATTTCACACCTGCCAGTTGTGGCGCTGTGGCGCGCCACGTCCGTGAACACGAGCCAAGCATAGGTCCTTGCTCGTAAACAGCGTCCTGATATTAATGAATGGACGGCCGTCAGTGCCATTGCATGTTCGACGGCTATGTGGGGCTTTCAGCAAATGATTTATCGAGGTTTCACAGACAATGTTGGAGACGCAGAATGAGTCTGAAAAGAAAAATGTTTATCTTTGGAAGATACAAACCAGCCAGAGATAGCAACTGATACCGAGTCTAGAAGCTCTGTCGATGGCGGCTGTCCAGACCCGCCGATTGAGGGCCTCAGGCAATCATACGAGGCAAGCTGGAGGTTACATGATCATCGCAAATCTGCAGTAGCTTAAGTGTTGATCGTTGAATGGATAATGCATGCCTTTGACATGTACTTGTATTGCTAAAGGGTATTAGTAGAGCTTGTTCGAAGTAGAACCCTACTGAGGTGCGTTCCAAGCTGAAGACAGCACCGAATTCTTCATTGTCTGCATCCCAGCAATGGAGTACATGACGGCTCGATTGACTTCACTCTCGCTGCAGAGAGAGCGCGTCTCGCCTCACTTGCAGTGAAGCTCAGCCCGGCCGCAGCCCATGTGACGGCTGGCCAACCAGCGCGCGGAGAAGCGCCGCTGCCCGCCGCCTCCAGACCCGCCTTACCTAATCGGGCCGCGGCCCTAGACACACCCGGCGCAGTCACGTGCCGCGGGCTCTGTTCGCCTTTGCCGTCATCCAACTACCTCCTCGTCACGTCGCTCCCTCCCAGCTCGCATCAAAGGGCGTCGCCCATTCCCCAGCACCTCGACCGCCTCCTCCTTCGACCATCCCCCATCGACGTGCCTCCCGCCAACACGCCTTCTGCCAGGCGCTTCTCCTCCGTGGAATGCAGGTTGCTGCTCCGGTGCCTCGAAGCCCGTCCCAGCGGTGAGCGATCCCTCGACCCGGCGGACTCCCAGCACTGTCGGCCCCAGAACCTGGACTCCATCCGCCGCTGGCTTCTGAATATTCGCGTGAATGAAGGCCTCTGCCTGAATAGGCTTCTCCCTGGTTTCGTCAGAGACCCATGTCCCATTCTGTCCCGCCATCTCTGCCCCGACAAGGTCCTCTCTCACCGTCGTCGCCCCCGGTTGAATCGCTGAAGGCGAATCCGTCACCCCCTTCCTCCACCGCCTACAATCCCCAGACACCCACGTCTCCTCCGTTGATGTCAGTCGGCGCTCAAAGCTATGCCTCCAATTTCGCAAATTCTCAAACGTCCCCCAGCCATACGACGTCACAAGGACAGCCTCTATCCTCCCCTCCTTCCTCGACCCCGATGTCTACACAGCTCTCGCAGCCGCCGACTGTAAGCACGACCAACTCGTTCCCCACACCCGCGAGCAGTGTGAGCGGCCATTTGGTGAGTGCGACATCGGCGGATGATCTCGACAGCGCCGATAAGTCATCCAGTGGGTGGCGGCATTCTGGAGCGTCAATGAACGCAACCAACACGGCAGATCCCATGGATCTTGGTCAATCAGAGCACAGGAGATCGGATCACGACCGACAGTGGCCAGGAGCCGATTCAGGAAGTACGAACATGGAAGGCCGACCGATGGTCCACGACGAGGATATGATGGATGTTGACCAGAAAGCGGGCGCATCTACCAACCGTGGTGATCCTAGTATCGAGTCGTTGCAGCAAGACATTGGCACGGCCTTCCATCTTTGCAAAACCTGTAAGGTGCTCCCCTTGAATAAAAGAGAAAAAAAAAGATGTCCATTTTTGTTTTTTTTTACTGCGCTGATGTTCTGGAACTTGCGCGTTAACACGTCGTTCCAAATCTACAGTACCTACGATATCTGGGCCTGATCCGAGCCTGGATCTCGTATCACTGTATGGGCTGGCCCCAATTGGGAAGTCGGTGATGAGGGCAGATCCCGTGACAGGAGAGAAGATTAACCGGTTACGCAAATCCTACGAGGGGAAGTTGAAAGGACTTGGGCTTTCTGGACGGAATAAACCGGTCAAGCACGAACCGGGAACCCCTGGTGGTTTGAGGCAACTGACGATGTGGCCGGAGGAGGAGTGGCAGAACCAGAAAGTCATCGGGAAGGAGATTAAGGTTGCGGACGTTGACTCAGCCCTCCACAAGCTGCAGATGAGAGCGATGAAGATGGAACCAGGTACTGTGCCGAATCATGAGTATTGGGAGGACGTTTTGGGTCATGAGAAGCCATCCAAGCATGCCGATGCGGGTAAGAAGGCCGCGGCAACCCCTGCTGCTCCTCGCCAGCCGGTTCAGGCAAACGGCACTACCCCGGCTGCGGCGGCAGAACCGGAACGCACTCGACCGAGCCGTGGAAAGAAGCGGCATTACGATGACAACAGTTTTGTCGGTTATGGCGAAGGTTACGCAGACGACGATGACGAGGGGGCATTCTATTCGAGCGAGGATAAAAAGAAGAAACGGAAGAAGGTATGAATGGGATTCGTACTTTCTGATTTCTTCAAGTCTGACATTGGTGTCCTGCAGGACCATATGTCAAAGGTATCGCCTCCAATTCCTGAAAGAAGCGGAACATATGGAGTGGGCATGTATGGAATTGGAGCGAGATGACAGCGAGCACGAGCGTTGCTGCTGTCAATTCTGAGTTGGAGACAGGATGGAAGACTGCCAGACGGTACTTTCATCCGGTCCTCGATCCTGGTCCTTCTGTCGCCTTCCACGCGCCTTCTATTACCCTTGTTTTTTCTTTCGACGTACATTTTGCATATGGTGCTGGATATACCCGCGTTTGATCAACCGGACGGCGTTTATGGGGAGGTTTTCATTTTTTTTTTCTGGGAAAATGGCTACAGTTGAAAACGTTTGTTCTGCAATGGCCCCAGAGGTCTGTTTTTTTTTTGTCTGTTGACTCGGTTTTACTTACTTAGTTGCCATGTCTTCTGTTTCAGGGTGGGTTAGCTTATTTCCAGGGTCACGGCAGCAAGTTTACGGAAAATATGAAAACTGGAATCGTTACTTTTTATTGTATCTAGCGGAGGACAGGCCGGTGGCTGGTGAGAAACTTCTGCTACGGGATGACGCTGTGTCTAGCTTACAGTTCACGAGACGGCCCGATGGTCATCATCATGTATGTTAGGGGAACAAAACACGATGTAGCGAATGGAATAGATTGATGGAGCAGAAACCATTATTTTGTATGCTACCCAGGTATCTTGTTTAGGTATGATTTCATTTCACTTTGCTGGTTGTCCTCTCTGCCCCGCTCCGGGTACGCCCTTCGATGACATGCAGTGACTAAGGTACCTAGTACTAAGTAGCGGCGACAAAGGTATATATAGTACGTCTGGGAAGGACTCTGTCCAGATTTTTTTGAACTTTCTTTTTTTTTTAATAGAAAAGTAATACGACTTTTCTTCTTCTTCTTCTCCCTCCTGCTGTTTGCTGTGATCGTTTCGTGCCTGGCTGATAGAGATACAGATACAATACAAAAATCATTCTAGGATCTTTCTTTTTTGACCACACCCTCCTACTACTTTACTGTCAAGACAAGAAGGGACTTAGTGTCCAAATTTCAAGACAGAAACAAATCAGACAGATATTGCTCTGTGCTGTACTATAATCATGGCCCAATCCTCGCAGCAAAAAAGACCCTTCTCCTCCTTCCGTCTCCTCTCATTCGACATCTACGGCACCCTGATCGACTGGGAGACGGGCATCCTCGACGCGCTGGAGCCTCTGCGCTCTCGCCTGCCGGACGGCCATCCTTTACGATCGGACGGCCTGGGCCTAGGCGCCAAATTCAATGCGCACGAGAAACGCATCCAGGCCGCGCAGCCGAGTCTGACGTATGACGCGGTCTTGAGAGAGGCCTATGTCGCGCTTGCAGGGGAATTGGATGCTCTTCCTGATAACGATAGTGGTGACGTTGACGCCGAAGGCACCGCTTTCGCAGCTAGTATCGCCCGCTGGCCTGCGTTCCCGGACACGGTGCCCGCAATGCGCAAGCTCAAGAAACTGGGGTACAAGCTCGTGCCGCTGTCCAACGTCGACAGGGCGTCATTTGGGAAGACGCTCGCGGGGCCACTGGCGGGATTGAAGGAGCCATTATCCCCCGATTCAGACGTTCCGCTAGACCCCTTCTTCGACGCCATCTACACGGCGCAGGACATCGGGTCGTACAAGCCCGACCGGCGCAACTTCGAGTACCTGATCGAGCATGTCCAGCGCGAGTTTGGCGTCGCCAAGCACGAGATCCTGCACGTCGCGCAGAGTCTGTTCCACGACCATGAGCCGGCCAAGGCGGTGGGGTTGGAGAGCGTGTGGATTGCGCGGGGAGACAAGGATGGCGAGAGTGGTATGGGTGGGAAAGTAGAGGAGTATGTGAATACTGGTCGGGTGGCGTTTGGGTGGAAGTATCGCTCTCTGGGCGAGTTTGCGGATGCGGTGGAAAAAGAGCTACGGGGTGATTAGTTTGAATTCATTTCCAACCCCCTCTATGAAGTTGACGAAAGGAAGATGGATGGATGGGATGGATGGATATCTCCTGTATGCAATGTCCAGTACAGTTGGGGTTAGCCATTGATGTTGAGGAAGTATATACGGAGTATGTACGTAGATATACGTGATTATCTATCTGAAATTGAAACTCATCTCGGTATATATATCCCCTGCCATTGGAAACCATTAGTTATAGGTATAGGTACAAGTGCATCACACAACGACAAGAACTCAGCCAAAGGCTTGTCCAAGTAGATAGATAAACAGAAATACCACATTTCATTTCATTTCATTTGGTTTGACTTGATTGCTTGGATTGTTCGACTTATTTATGACCAGTGTATGTACTCTAGATATCGGTTCGACGACCACTAAGTATCCTAATTCCCTAAAATGGCAGAATGTATTGTTGATCATCTAGATGCTTGAATCTTGATATCTACTCCGTAGGTAGGTATGTACAGTACATAGATAGGGAAGTCTTTCCCCTTTTTCTTAATGCTACATAATAGGTAATGAATTCCCTTCCCTTTCTTTTCTGTAGAAAGAAGTGACTGTGCCTGTGATTGACTTTGCGGGGGTGGCTTCTGGACGATGACCAATCGTGTCTCGTCTATATAATCGTAATCATCGGACTTCAGCACGGTTCTGCATATTACGTGCATAGGTAGTACTCCGTAGGTATGTACCACAGTTCCAAACTCCGAGAACACAGCAGCACAGTGATGCAGCGAATCGAATTCGTTGGATTTCAAATAAAAAGAGGAGCAAAAAGAAAAAGTAATTAATAATAATTATGGAAACTGCCTGTGGGGAGAGCCCCAAAGAATAATAATACGTATGTACCTAGGTCCCTGGACTGACTCCATATGGAGTACTACCGTAGGTACTTGAGGTAGGTTCCAGTCCTGAGCAATCACAATCGATGTATTTCAAAACAAGACGCTCTCGCCCAGTCAGACAATCTCTAATTACTAACCAGAACCTGGTCTAGAGAATCTAGATAAGTCTGGGTTAGGTAAGGTTGGACAGGGATCTTAACTAATTACCCACAGCATGGTGCTATGATCAGCAGGACGGGGAGCAGGGGCCTCACGCAGCCCGCGAATAAGATCGAATGGAAAATAAGCCAGGATACACCCAAATCGGGATAGGTGTCCGATTAACCCGTCAAACATGATCAAACAGGGGCAGTTGCTGACATTTGCCTGTTTGCGGATTGGCTGAACCCTTTTCCCTTCCCTAAACTTTAATGTAATGGACCCGCCGGGCCGCCGCCATTCTTGTGTTATGTTATGCGCCCAGGGCGAAAAAAAATGTCACATAGCTATCATTGCTTATTGTTCTGGTACTTAACTGGATGGTTGGGTAACAACTCTTCGGTACTTACCTAGGTATATGCAGTGGGGGTGCGGAATGCGAGGTATATACATACATACATACATACATGCTCTACTCTCTCTGTCTGTATGTGTACATAATTGTATGACGCTGCACTGCACATACCTACGCCGTAGTTGAGTTAGGATGCGGCGAAGGTAGGAGGATCCTTGCCTCAGTCTCGGCGACAATCTTGCATGTGATCTTTCGTTTTCTTCCCTCTTGCACAGTTGCACCTTGTTTCTCCGCAGCTCGTCAAACACAATTTCTGTTTGTCTGCTCGACGTGGTCCTGCCTGTTTCCTCTGTACAGGCAATACTAATACTGTACATGACCCAGCCGCAACGTTGATATTCTGCCCACTGGGATCTTCATCATCCTTAAAGGAAAACAACAGACGTGCTGAACTGCTGCTGTGTTGAACTGCAAGTCAAAATGGCCCTGCTGTTCTTAAAAAACAAGCTCTTCCCTTCGAGCCAAAACAAAGCTCTGCCTGCGGCCGATCTCAAAAAGCGTTCTTCGCGATCATCGTCTCCAGATCAGAGTTAGTATTGATTCCTGCCTTTCTATCCCTGGTAGGAACTCGACCAGATCAACTAACAGCACACTCCTTGCAGGACGTCCCTTGTTGGCCGATGTGCGTCTAGATGAGGAGACCGGTCTCGATGGCACTGTCGACAGCAGAAGCGACCTCGAAGCGCAGATTTCTCCGTCATACCAAACGTTTGGATCTGACCTTGACGAAACGCCAAGTTCGAACGGTCCGCGCTCAAAGATAAACCCGCGTATCATATCCGATGCCATTCTCGGGCTGTCAGATGGCTTGACCGTGCCTTTTGCTCTGAGCGCAGGTCTGTCGGCGCTGGGTGACACCAAGGTCGTCGTCCTGGGAGGACTGGCCGAATTAACCGCCGGGGCCATCTCGATGGGCCTCGGTGGGTATGTGGGAGCAAAGAGCGAATCGTTAGTTCCCTGCACACCAAGGGAGTCCTGTGATGAAATCGCCTTGCTGACTGAGTCTGAATTATCTCTAGTGAGTCGTATCAAGCCACTGAACGTGAAGTCGAAGCGATTCTGGATCACCCTGTCGAAACCAATGCCATTGTTAGAGATACCTTCGCTGAATACGGAATCTCTGACAATGCCATCGCTGAGATCAGCGCTTCCCTTCACGACAATCCTGACCGCCTGCGCAAGTTTCTGATAACCTTCCACCACAAGGAATCTGAGCCGGACAGGGGCCAAGCCTACACGTCGGCGATAACCCTCGCTCTCGGCTACTTCATTGGAGGTTTCATCCCTCTGATTCCATACTTTTGCGTCAGCCAAGTCTTGGTGGCATTCTATTATAGCATCGGAGTTATGGCGGTCACTCTCCTCCTATTCGGATACGTCAAAACTTGCATCGTCCGCGGATGGAGCGGCAAGTCTAACATCATCGCCGGCATCAAAGGCGGAATCCAGATGTGTGTCGTCGGCGGAGTAGCTGCTGGCGCAGCGATCGCTCTTGTCAGAGCAATTGACTCTGGTAAAAACTAGAAATCTTTTATGGGTGTCATAATGGGCATCGGGTTCGCCATGGCGGCTATTTCGGGTGTTTTCTTTTTTTTTTCCTTTGTCCTTTTTTTTCTCATGGGTTGATATCCAGGCGTAGGTATTCACGGGAATAGGGTTAGGTTTGGTATCATGACGATGGAATAGAATCAAGCATCATGAAGCATCTCTTTTCCAATCGGTCTCTCCTCTTTGACACTCGTAAAATCTTGAATCTCCTCTCTCAATGCCGTACGATCAACCCAACCGTCCGTTTCGTAGACTACGCGACCAGCGCCTTACTGACTAATGCCTTTGCGCGATCCGACATGTCAATCTTCAGGGCCAACTCATGCCCCCTGTCGGACATCTTCCCCCACGTCTTTTTCAGGATGCTGACAATCTTCTCCTCGTCATGGGCCTTCTCGAATTCCTCGAACTGGTCGTCCAAGAACACCAGGCAGGCGACGTCCTCCAGCGTCTGCGTCTCGTGGTCCTTCTTCAGGTTCTCCTTGCGAACCAGCGCCGCCACGCGGCCGGCCTCCTCGGCCGAGTATCCGCAGTCGAGGCAGATCTTCTCGGCCTGCTCGGCCTGGCGGTTCTTGAGAAACGTGCGCCAGGCGAAATAGCCCTGCTTGGTCTGCGGGTAGGAGCTCCGGGGCACCTCCCAACGGCGGAGATGCTGGGCACGAACGGCCAGTTGCAGGGCCTCTGATGCCGCCGGGTCACATTGTTCCAGATACTTGGTCATCTTTTGCGCGTAGTGTAGTTCGTAGGGGACCTCTTTTTGAACCCCATTGCTGTCTGTGACAGTGACCAGATTTGGGTCTTGCGCGTGCGCTTCATCAATGGCGCGAAGCGCCCGCTCAAACTTGGACATTATTGCGATAGATCAAGTGAAACTTATGCAAGTGATGACCAACGAAAAACGGGAAGGAATGACAGGCCGACAGCCAGCTGTAGTCAGCGTCGGTAGAAATAATTGCTTATCGATCGATCCATCAGCGCTTGTCCTACTAGCGCTAAAAAAAAACCTGACCCCACTAGAGGACATTTCCGATTGCAGAAAATAATCAGATTGAGATGAAGTAAATGGGAAAAGAAACAACTTTCTCGAAGAAAAAACAAGGAAATGAAAAATGTGAGTGATACTCTCCGAAAATAATAGCTAATCTTCAGATACTTTGGTCAGGAATAAAAATTTAAAATATCCTTTTGCGATGGATTGTCCAGACGGAATTTCGCGCAGTGGATTCAGTCGGAGGAAACTCGGAGAACCTTCGGGATCGCCCGCTCACCTTCCGTCTTCAGCACAGCCGACGGGGTATTCCCGCTGTCAGGCACCGAGCCAGCATGTGACAACGGTCAATTTTTCATTCCTCAAACGAGCACGTCTTGAAGAAGAAAAGAAGAAGACATCTATTGTCTAAGTAGCTGTAGTCTATCACTGGGTGTGCATGCGTATGCTCTATCCTTCTATCGTCTGAGCCCTGAACACCGAACGCAAGCCCTTCTTAGATTAGATGGCCGTAGTTAAATCACCAACCATCTCGTCGCGAACCCCTTTCTCGATGATGATGGTGATTATTATGACGACGATTTGGCAGGCGTCTCCTCAAGCTTTCGTAGAAGGCGAAGGTGCTCCTTTTTGAGCGCCTCAAAGCTGTCGTCCAGCTGCTTGTGCCACGGGTATAAAACGAACACCTGGAAAGCGAGCGCTGAAGAGGCAACGAGGAAATTGGTCAGAGAGATTCCGCGTGTGATGAGCATCGTCGTGAGAGGACAGGATGGCTGATTTCAGTGGAATTGCTGTCATGGTCAGTGATGAGCAACATCAGGATGAGCGAGCGTAATTTACTCACATGGACCAGTGCAAGTTGGAAAGTAGAAGTTGCAGATGAATAGTTATCAGAGTGGAGAGAGAGGTAAGTGAAAGTGGTTCGAACGATGTTATTGACAGCAGTGGTAAAGAGCGACGTTTGCTTCCAAGCAATCGAGTGCTGAGAATTGCGCGCAGACAGAGAAGAGTAGAGTAGCGAGAGGGAGATTGTGTAGTTCGGACAAACAGCCGATGTACAAACCTAGAATCCCACCTTAGTGCCTACCTAAGCAGCTACCTAATCGAGAGATGTGAAGTCTGTCTTTCTGGATTAGTAGTAGTGCGTGAGGCCCGCTGTGTCCTCACCCTACCCTAGTACTAATAGTCATAGAGCTTCTTTTTTAAGTTACCCTAGTTACGAGGTTTGGGAAGAATCTGGAATCCAGACAGACAGACCACGTTTTATGGCGTACCTAATTAGAAAATAGGTCTTTCAGCCCATGGTCGAGAACTATGGCTCCCTTCACCCCTGAAATCGAGTAAGTATCGTCCTTCAACCCATACTATCGTGTACACTGTAATCCATGAGCCGCGCATAACCAACTCTTATTGGACAATCCTCATGTAAAACGAGTTACGCCTTAAATATTGCGTAGTAGCACGCTATTTAAAGTACGAAATTCTAATGCATCATCTCATCCACACGGTAATTCCAAGAAATCAATCGTTCCCGACCATGGTCGTAAACCACTGGTCGAGAATCATTAATGTTTTCCAACTTGAATTTTCGAATCTTGTCTGAACTTCGATGCTTGAAATCATGATGTGACCGCTTCTATTCCTTCTTCACTCACAGCTAACCCCGAAGTCCCCTTTTCAAACATGACTTACAAACAAGTCGCCCTATATGTCTGGCTGAATCCAAATGGTGCTAGTTAAGATATATAACCTCTACAGGTGTTCTGTTCCTATATCCCTAAAGATATTTTCCAAGAGATTGTCAAGGATATTAAAGTTGCTCTCACATAGTCTGAACTGTTAAAGTCTCGTAACAATGAAGAAACCAGGTCTCATTTCATTACCTTGGTAGGCAGAAAACTAGCATTTTTTTTTCTTTAAATTTGTTTTAAAGCTAGTATTATTAATGGTAGCTAGATATTTAGCAGAATTGTTGCTCAATTTTAGAGCATGATAATACGCAAACCGGACAGCATGCTTAAAAGTGAATTGAGCAAGAAAGGAAGAATTAAGCAATACTTTCTTGCTATTAATGCTATCAGCATTGTATTCATTAAAGTTAAGAAACTTCTGACAACTGACTGGTAGGCATATGCCTGACACGAAAGAACAGGTTCTTGCCAAATGTGCTGCTATGTAGAACAATTTCCTCTCACGTCGTCATTATTAGAAGAGGGTTGCTGATGTAACGACTCTCCAGCCTGTGATTATGGTGTTTATCAGCTGAAACTGAGGTTCGTGGTTTGTTTAAAATATTTTTTTTAAATTAAAGCCCTCCCTACTAATAGCTTTGCGAGCCTGTAGTTTTTACCGATTTACCGCGCCAGCTGCATGACAGAGAGAGAGCTTGAGGCCCTATGGGATGGAGCCACGAGCTTAGTTAGAGGAAGCTTTCAAGGAGGACAACAACCTCTTCTATTAACATCAATGTCTACGTGATACACTCCCACAATCTGTGACAAGCTATACACAGGGAAATTTCGGACCCTTGAGCCTTCTGAATTAGAGATTATTACCTCTGCAGTTCAAATCATAGTCCAGCCAATGAAAGAATCATGTTGATCAATCAACGCTCCTTGGACATCGCTCTTTGATAGTGATCGAAATGAGATGGCTACACACACTGGACTTAGGTAACTATCACTTATACAACCGGGATTATGTGTATCGAGACCCCTTACTTTTCAACCATGGTCTAATCATGGCCGAAAAAACTGGTGTGAGAGTAAGGTTCCTTCTTTCGGCTTTTATTTATGGTTATTTTGTTAGCTCTATTAGTCTATGCCTGCTGTGACAGCTCTGTTAATAGGACGACAAACTCATCCTAGTAATATTAGCTATTATCTCGAACGAACGATAAGGTAATAATGTAAGGGAATAAAAAAAGCGAGTAAGGGTAGGTAGGTACCTAGCAAGGTGTACTCACTACCTTTAGATACTTGATTTGATGCCTTTGCTGTACCTCTGCCCCACTACCTAGGTATATACTTAGATTCCGCTATATATTTGTGGAAGGTCTTAGTAATAGGGAGAAGAGAGGGAGTTCCTTTTTTTTTATCAAATTCCAGACATCTACACTCTCTTAGGGATAGGCCTCTTCTTCAGTGACTCACAGCGGCTGGGGTACGGGTTACTACAATTGTAGATGGCGCAGCTCATTTAATGACTGGTTAAATAGTATAAATTATTTGGTAGACTTAATTAAGGTTCGTGAATAGAAAATAATTGTTACAAACCCATTGCTTCATACCCAAATCCACCGTCAGAGCCCAATGACGAATGCCAGATGCGTCAGCATGTGAATCACAGAGCAACAGCAAGACCAAGGACACCAGCAGCACCCGCGAGACCCAGGGCCAGAGCACCGGTAGCAGCCGGAGCACCGCCAGTGGAGGTCGCACTGGCGTGGCCAGAGGCGGCGGAGGAAGAGCCAGCGGAGGAGCTGGCGGTAGAGCTGCCGGCAGAGCTAGAGGCAGAGCCAGAAGACTCGGCAGAAGCGGTAGGGGTAGCGGTGGCGACAGACAGAGCGCTAGAGGCGAGACTGGCAGCAGACGAGGGAACAGCAACGCTAGCGAGGCTGCCGTACGCAGTCACAAGGTAGCTCTTAACGTTCGGAGGGAGACTCTGGAGCCATCCAGGGACAGTGCCCGCCGCGACCTCGCTGACCACGGATTGAATGGCGCTGGGGTTGGTCAACTCAGTGATGAGGGACGAGGGCAGGGCGGTCTCGAGAACGGTCAGGATGGAAGCCGGAGGAGGCGTGATTTGCCTGAGAAATAAGGGTCAGATAAAGCTCTCCAACTAAGGAGCGTAGACAAAGACTTACTGGGCCACAGCACCAGTGGCCGCAGTAGAGAGGAGAAGCGCCGCAACGGATTTGAACTGCATTTTGATGGAGTGACTAGTGAAGAGTATTGGCTTGAGGTTGCAGATACACGACTTGAGAGGTTGGAATTGCGAGGTTTGCAGAGCTTGTGCAAGATGAGGAAGTACAGAAGTAGTGTTTGAGCAAAGGGGGGGCGACGGCTTCTTTTGAACTACCCCAGAGTCAACGACAACACGGAGTAATACTATTTGCTCACAGACCAATGATCCCAGTGACAGGAGCACGGGCTTGCCCAACACAGCCATGGTCATGCAATTAGTGTCGTCACTATCCTTATTAACTGCCTAATTCGACTGCATACCTCGCAATGGCTGGCGGCCCCCCTAGCATCATTGGACAGTGACTCGAATCCATTCCACCAAGCCTTCCAAGTTCCAACGGGATCGAAGCCCCATCTGGAACTCGAGAGCTGGGGCGTGAAGATCTGTCTGGACGGGCAAATGAGTGCAAGGAGGCAGAGCTCAAGCGCGGGTTGGAGGCCTGATGTGGAGAAGGGGCTGCGTCCAAGGATCAGGGTTCGTCTTTGGCTACAAGAATCTGTGGGGTCATGGATGCACTGCGCGCTTAATTTCTATTGGAATTTGAAGGTGCAATTCTGCTTCTATCCGCCTTGGCCGCATCATCAATGGATTGGTAGCTCGTGCTGATGTTTACTGTCGATCTTTCATGGGGGCTAAATATCACAGCGGCACAGCCTAGCTAGCAGCGGCGCGGAGCAAGGTACAAAGTACGGAGGACTCCGTGATTTCGCCATTTTACACCGCACGCGGCAAATGGAAGACTTGTATTGAAGACTTGTACCGAAAAAGACTCGTCACATATCAAGTACGGAGTACTTCTTCATCCCGCTAAATCAACATTTGCTTTGCTCATTACTATCACAGCATAACTGTAATGACGGCTGTAGTAATGTAGAGACCTCTGTTGCCATTCCGCAGATTCATTCTCATTGTAGCCATCATCATCACCATGATCCGTAGGTATACCCATGTCAGGAGCTCATTCATGCTCCGCCTTCTCTCTTCGCATACTCGTCCTCGATGTTCTCTTCATACAGACGGTCTGCCTCGTCCTTGGTGAGCACACGGTCACTTGGTTCGCTTCCGCGGTCGGCAGATTCAGCCAGATTCGAGCCAGCATAGACCGTGCCGCCACTGCCAGTGCCGGGTATTCGTGCGTGGCCTGTATTCGGGATGGACGTGAGCGCCTCTGCAGAAGCAGCGCCAGCGCTGCCAGTGGGACGCACTTCGTCCGTGTACAGGCTGTTGGAGGTAATGTCCTTGTCCCTGATGCTGGTATCAGGAGCACTGACTGTCCGGACGGGCATAGTGGCCAATGAGGATGTAGCGCGGTTAAACGTGAGAAAGTCTGGATAAATAAGATTTCAATAATAGGATTGGTGTCGTATCGACAGGGGACGAGAAGTGGTTGCCGCGTCAAGCGATGTTGGGCCGGCCAGATATTGAGGTGGCTGGTGAGCCCTTTAATACTCGGGACGGTGGCAATTTGGCAACGAGCTGCGGCGACCCGTGACTTCGACGTCACTTAAACAATTCACACTCGACAACAGCGCAGTCAACAGTCTAAAAAGATAGACAACAAATACAACCGCCTAATACGATTAACGACAATAATAACTGCAAAGCAGTTCAAGTTCGAATACTTCACAGGCCACAATGCTTGAAGCAGGTAGCGTGACACTCTACAAGAAACTACACTCCGATTGTGTACTGCTACTTCTTCTCCAACCCCCAGCCGCTGGCTGAGAACTTGATGAAAAAGTAGGTAAAGGTTCACTCACGAAGAGTGAGGAAAGGGGCCAAAGAATACGCCTGCCAATGACCCGAAGGCCGTTGGACGGATTGTTCCGCCACGCTGTGCAATGCAGGGACCAATCCGTGGTGGACCGCCTTCTTGATCGCAGCCACCCAAACAAGGTAAGTATGAGGAAAAGAAAGAAGAGAAAAGTTCCAAAAGGACGGGGGGAGGAGCAGATATTTATACCTTTGGGACCGCGCGAACGGCTAAGCGAGTTGCCTAGACGGGTGAATTAAGCGAGAGGTTGATCCTGCTGATCCCGAACGCTGATTGGATATGTTTCAGACCAGGATTCTCCAGGCTCCCGGTGGCAACGCCACACGTGATTCGGAAGTGTTCCACGAAATGCGCTCATGCCGGATGCTTCACTGAGGCACAAGAAACGAGCCATCGCGATGAGTCGCGACACTTTTAGTATCCAAAAAAGGAAAAAAAAAGCCTGCAAACCAATGATAAAACTACGATCCAATACCAGGACCTCTATACTGATGCCTCCTCCAGAAGAGCAATTGATTAATTACTGTATAATGTTTCTAATGCTAGCCATTGGGTATGAAGAAGTTATAATAATCCAGGACACTATGCAGAACGCCTCGACAGGATATACTGAACAATGCATGACAAGTGGCAATCTCCAATGATTGCCCTGATAACAAGTCACCCTACTCGGCGCTGAGAGCAAGACATGCATCCACCGCTAACCCGACTCTGTGGGATCAATTAGCTCTTGACTGAACCTTGTCAAGACTGCTTGTGGCTAGAAAGACTCACCTGCCCTCCTTCATCCGAACGACGTCATCAATCACGTCTCGATCTAGATTCGGGAACATACTAGATAGTGTTCTGGATTCTGGTTAACAAGGCCCAAGGGACATAGCAGATGTATTACAGGACTTACTCTACCACATCATTATGTTCCGCGCGCTGTATCCTCCGGGCTTCTGCTGCTTCCGCACTCGCTTGTCGTGCAGCAGCCTCCTCAGCCTCATACGAGGTAGCGTGTCGCGGCGCAGGCGATCTCCTGGATTGATCTACTAGCCTGCGTTCTTCGCTATAACTACCCGGTGGCGGATACAGTCCAGGGGAAGGTCGAGACGCCGTGACTGGCGGTGGGCCGGTAGGTTGCTGAACTCTTCGCTCTGGCGGAGAGTCTGGTTCGTCGGAAAAAATCCTCCCAATTGTAGACAACGGTTTTTGGATGGTCCGCAAGAGACCTGCCACAGGCGCATTATCCTCCTCTCCCGAGGTCGCTGCATCCTTTCGTCGAGGATAACGTTCCCCTTCCCCAGAATTGCGCGGTGTGACTTCCGATGAGCTAAGGGCAGGCTTGTCGAGTTCAGCGGCGCGTGACGCAGCTTCAGCCTGGCGATTGCTTTCGGCGATAGCTGATACTGCAGCCTCGACGTTCCTTTCAAACTCCTCGTCGCTCACGGTTAAGCTCGTACGATCCAGCGTCTCGATAAATTGAATAGCTCCGGACTTGTACGGTTAGACCTGCAGGTTGAATGATGATGCGCTGAGATACGTACCAACGAAGAAAGATAATAGCCTGCTTCGCCTCCCAGCTTCTCTTGGTTGCGAAAGCGAAGGATGTACTGGACATTGGAGACTAGATGCTCCGGGTTGGCTTGCAATACGACGTATATCAGAAGGGGCATGAATGAATCTGCCGATGTGTCGGCGTTTTTCGAATTCTTCAGCAAGCCTACAAGGGGGTCTTGATTAGCCGTCTATGTGTTTCAGGACCCTCGAGGACAAAATACTAACCAATGATAACCTTGCAGCAGTTCAGTATGCAAATAACCTTATCTCGAGGAGCCCGATACCCTTTGATCTTTAACAGCTCTGAAGAACGGCAGTTAGAAAGATCCATGAGCCCCCGACGGTTGCGCACGCCTTACCTTGTTGTGCAAGATTTAAAAAGCGACGACCGTTGGGTCCTAATGGTGGAATGTCCAAATGCTCCTCCCGTACCCAACTGTATATTCGAATCTTTTGGGCGAGGATCTCGTCGCGTTCAACGTCTTCCTGATGCTGACCACGTCGCCCCGGTCCATGTAGTCTCTCCAACTCGCGCCTCTTGCTCCTGCTGGCGGTTCTCGGTATCGTCGGTGGAGGAGGGATGGCAGGAGAAAACGTCTGGTTGTATAATCTGTTCATAACTAGTTTCTCCATTCCTTCCTTGGCGTTGTCAAACTCGGCATCCGACACATTCTTCCAGACTTCGCATTGAGCCATCTTGTTTGTGATGAATGCCAAAAAGTCGCTAATGATCTTGACCTGCTCATGCACCAGCCATTGCCTTTTACCAAACTCGTTCAGAAAAGATCGAAGAAATTTGGCAACGGGATCTGCTGTGCGATGCCGAAGTTGCTCGAGAAATCGATGGAAGTCGAATGGTTGGTCAGGCTCCGGTTCAGGCGGCGGCGGCGGCGCTGTCAACGAAGTGGAGGATCGCGGTGTCGCCGGTCCTTCAGTTCTGGAGACAGGTTGAGCCGTTTTCGGGGGGACGATAGGAGAGGGTAATTGTTGTGCTCTATTAGATGAGGTAACCTGCCTACTGCTGTCGGTGCCTTTGAGAGGCTCCAGGCTTGACCTTCGCGGTGGGAACTGGCTTTGCGTACTTAAAAACTGTTCCGCCAACTCCAGACGCGGAGACATGATCTCCTTCTCCTTAGGGCCTTTTGTTTCATCGGCGAACTGCTCCATAATGCTCTGTATTTCCGGCTGTTCGTCCTCGCTCTTTCGACCTTCATGCCCGTCCTCCTGGGCAGTGCCATTCTCTCCATCCTTCGGTACGTCAGGGAGCTCCTTTTCCGTATGTTCAGGTGCTACCGGCGCCGGGGACCGCGGTGCTTGCGGAGTTTTGGGAGTCGGGTCAATGTACGGCTCGTCTTTCTTCGGCGGAGGAGGCGGAGTATCGATGTGGTTTTGGAGGTGCAGAGGTTCCGGTCTTTTCGATGAGATGGAGAGTTTTCGGAGGTCCTCAGGATTCAGTTGCCCATGACGGCTGGAGACGTCCCCAGAGCCCGTCTGCGGTGCTGGCTCATTATTCATGGCCGAAGACTGATCCCCGTCGGCGGCCTCCATCGTATCATGGACTTCAGGGCGGTCGCGAATTTCATATCGTCCGGGAGAGGCACTGTCCTGCTCCCCGTTTCTCTCCGCGGTTTCTATTGTGGTCTCCCCGGACGAAGCGGACAAGGGAAGATTATCTGGGGCGGACATAAGCTCGATAGGCAATGAGGTCACCAGATGGTCCGCGCAGGCTTAGGCGGGGCAGCAGAGCATCGTGAGGAAAGAACGCCAGCTGTGCAGACAGTAATGCTGGTCAGTCGGTATAAGAAGAGTATCTACACTCACGACATGGCAAGATTTCGAAATGCAGCACCAACACTGCAGGTGGAGACTGCTCGCTGCCATGCGCCCGATGATCGCGCCCACTTGTATTTCCAAGCCGCAGGATCATCGTTCTGCCGAGAGCCGCCGCCTTCGTCGACGCCATGCATCTTTTAGATTATTATTCCACACTTGGGGGATCGCTGAGACCCCATTCCAGGTCCTCGCCTCTCAGAGAGCCTTCATGGTCGCGTCAACGCTGCTATGTGCGGCATCTTCTTCTCTCTGAGCTCACTGAAGCCCGTGCTTCCCAGTGACAGGACGCGATCCTTGCTACAAAGCAGAGGACCGGATAGCTTCCAGACTCACACTGTTGAGCTTCAGTGCCCACGTGAAGATGTCCACGGGCCTGGGGAACCAGAAACATGTCCAGTGTACCTGACTTTCATCTCGACAATGCTTGCGCTGAGAGGCGATCATCTTCAGCCACAGCCACTCATTGATGCTCGCAGCCAATCCGTGCTTTGCTGGAATGGAGAGGCCTGGAAAATTGCTGGCGAGCCTATCTGTGGAAACGACACTGAAGTGATCTTTAGGAATTTTCTTGAAGCTACGCTAGATCCTCCCACGGAGAATGGAGGAGGGTTCCGTTCTGAGGATGCCATCCAAAAACTAACCAGCTTCATTAGTAGCATCTCAGGGCCTTTCTCTTTCGTATTCTACGATGGGTTGCATTCGAGGCTTTTTTTCAGTCGAGATTGTTTGGGGAGAAGGTCCCTTCTCCAAGGCCTTGATGAGTGTGGCAATTTCACGCTCTGCAGTATCCCAGATGGAACTTCTTCCGCATCCTTTGAGGAAGTTGAGACTGACGGGCTGCGCATGATTGATCTCCTGCGTATTAAACAACAGGGTCTTCCTGATCAGGCCAAGCGAATATCCTTCCAGGTGGACACTATCCCTTGGTCATACGATGCTCCTGTTTCTCCTACGAAGATCCTTGTATGATGGACTATCTTGCCACCATGCCTTGACTTACGCGCTAATATCATTCTTACTTGCAGAAGAACCCCATACCGGCAATGAATCGAGCATTGCCAACGGGAGAGCCGCCTGCCCTCACGCTTGATTCCTCTTGTGTCGAAATTCTCGAACAGAAACTTCGCCGTGCCCTTGAACTGCGCATTCGAAATGTGCCACAACCACCGCATACGGCGTCAGGGACAGATGCCAAGATTGCTGTTCTGTTTTCTGGTGGGTTAGACTGCACAGTTCTCGCTAGGCTGGCACATGACATCCTGCCAATCGATGAGCCTGTGGATCTCCTAAATGTGGCTTTTGAAAACCCCCGTGTCGTCGCTGCATCAGCCAAGGACCGGACAAAGAAGGCGAGCTCGATCTACGAGAGTTGTCCAGACCGTATTACCGGTCGAGCGGGACATGCTGAGCTGCAGAGAACCTGCCCTAATCGCAAATGGCGATTCGTCGCCGTAAATGTGCCCTACAGGGAGACGCTGGCGCACAGAGATGAAGTGAAGCAGTTGATGAAACCCCACAATACGGAAATGGATCTCTCTATAGCATGTGCGCTCTACTTTGCTTCACGTGGTCAAGGTGTTGTCTCCGAGAATCCAGAGGATTGTGATGGTGCAGCACAATATACTACCTCTGCCCGAGTGCTTTTATCCGGCCTGGGAGCGGACGAGCTCTTTGCGGGCTATACCCGTCATGCCGCGGCTTTTGCTCGAGCCGGATTCCAAGGTCTCATCGAGGAGATCGATCTCGATGTTGGACGGCTGGGGCAGCGGAATCTGGGTCGCGATGACCGAGTGATTTCGAATTGGGGCCGTGAGGCCCGATATCCCTACCTAGATGAGGAATTTGTCGCTTGGGCCACGAGGACTCCGGTGTGGGAAAGATGCGGATTCGGCACATCCCAGCCAGTGAGTGGCAGTGAGAGTCAAGATACCCCAGCAAATGGTGCAGACATCGCGGCGGATCTTGAACCTGGAAAAAAAGCGCTGCGCCTGCTTGCTCTCAAGCTCGGCCTGAATAATGTCGCCCGCGAAAAGAAACGGGCCATCCAGTTCGGCTCACGAACTGCGAAAATGGAAAGTGGGAGAAGCAAAGGGACGCATGTGCTGAACTGATATATATATGATCTTTTTCTTTCTTCCCCCTCCCTCCCTTCTTATTGTCACCTATACATGCCACAAAACGAAAAAAAAAACACTACACACTACACTGCAAAGTCAACAATCACCAGCGATGATGACCGAACGAATCAGATACTTCTGAAACCGCCTTTCCCCGCTCTGTCTGTACGCTGTACGCTCTTTGTGGATTCTCTGTCAACACAATCACCAGCAACCACCTGCTCGAGTCCATCTTTGTCGTCCTGAGTGGTCTTGCATCACTCATTCACTCCGTCTTCTTCGATCAATCATCTTTTTTATTCCTGGTCAGAAGCACCGCTCTTTCCTATTCACTTTTTTTTCTGCACTGCCTCGAGCGGAGCGAAAAAAAATTTGGGACCTAATAAGAGACTGGTGCTTGTTGACCCGGAAATTCTTGATCGATCGACTGATGAGAGGAGAGAGACAGGACGATTATTTCTCCATCCCGGTGGGTTTTATGGACTCGCGCGCTCGTGTACTGTACTGTACTGTACATGTGTACGTGTGTAGGTGCGTTGCATGCGTTGATTGATTGACAGAGAACTCCACACAGAGACCAGTCAGACAAGAGATTTAGGGGAAATCTTGCAGCTGATGGAAAAAAGGCAAGTCTGAGCTGGTGTGTGTTGTCTATCTAGAGTAGACCTAGACCTGGTAATAGTAATGATAGTATCCACGCTTTTTTTTTACTTCCACACGTAATTGTTTAACTTGACTACAGCAGAGTAAGTAGTACGTGAATAAGTAGTCAATGATAACTATGACGAGCATAGATTTATATACATAGATCACTGAAAACTCACTGAGTGTAATCTGCATTATGACTGACTATATGAAGGCAGTGTGTACATGAACTCATGAGAAATAATGGTTCCGAGGCTACGAGGATGGATGTATTCGATTTACGATGTACCATATTTAATGAAAGACAATGAATTGATAATTCAGTAGAACAATATACTAACCAACAGGACTTAGCAAAACAAAGCTGGCCACGAGTCAATCCTAGACTGTGTACAATGCACAGCAAGGAGACGTCAGAACCGGCACAGCCAAAACACAAAAACAGATGAAGACAAAAATAGAGAAGAGTCCAATCTGGAAGGCCAAGCAGAGGTTGCAGGTAGAGTCACACAACATATCACTGGCAAGACATCGCAATGTCAAGAAATTCAGAACCATAACCAAAACACTTTTGTGTCATGTAGGAGCGTCATTGTCAGATGACCAATGCAATCTGGAGACTGACTCGTACTCCTACAACTTCAGAGTGAGGAGGGAGCTGTGCCCCCACCACCACACATCCTACTCAAACAGTCCCGATATAAGAGGGGTCAAAAAAAAACAGCGAGGAAATATCCAAAGCAGGCAATCAGCTCTGAGAAAGCAAAAAAAATATAATGTCATGTCGAGAACGGGGCCGTCAGTAAGCATGCCGTCCCCAAGTGCTTCACGCACAAGTCTCTCCAATATTCCTCACGTCTTTGGAGTTCCGCCAGGTCCTTCTCCAGCTCGGCGATGCGACGTTCCATGGATTCCTGCCGTGCCAACTTCCGGGCTCGGGACTTGCGAGCGGCTTCGGTATTCCGTGCGCGCTTCACGGCGACAGGGTCATCAGGATCGTAGACGATCGGCGGCAGGGGCTTTTCTCTCCTCCGAGGATTGACACCAGCCACTGATGAGTGTTTTGTGGAACTCCGACCAGAACCAGGCTTGGGAGACTCGCCGGGCGAGGAGGCTGTGCGGACCATGGGCGAAGAAGTCGTGCGGACCATCGGCGATGCAGATGGCTGAGTCTTGGGTAACGTAGGGATAGCGTTGCTCACGTCCTCAACAGGGAGGGAGAAGGCATCTTTGGCAGGAAACAAGGACTCCCACTCCTCATGGCCGGGTCCCAATTCTTGGTCGACCGGGAACATGGGCGAGGCGTCGTGACTAAACAATCCAGGAGAGTCAAAGGAGGGAGGAGTGCTGAGGTCCGTGAACGAAGTCGACGGCGGCGCCGACGCATCTACCACCAGGTCCTTCGGCGAGACCGTGCCCACAGGCTGGCCTGCCGGGGACTCGGCGGCAGTAAAACTAGGCTGATGAGAAAGCATGGTGATGTCCGCCGGAGAATCGAGCTCGTCTACGAACTGGTGGGCAGAAGTATCAAAGACGTCCCGGAGATCCCGGAAATCTGAATATGTGGGGTTAGCGTGGGGAATGTCTTCGCTTGACTCACACGGGAGGGAGGAAGGACGGGATGGGGCCTGGTATTCACCTGTAATGAGGTTGGAGGTCGACATGACCCGGCGATGCTGTGACTGCTGATTCTGGTTCTGCGGAAGATTTCCTGCGCTGTGGAACAAAGGGACTGGAGGACGATTGGAGTGTGGAGAAGGCACTGAAGCAGCGTACAGACGCTGGGCAAGGTGCTTCCGGCCGGATGGACTAAACCGATTCGACGTGGACGGAGATAACCCGGGAAACTGCGCGTTCAACTTGGACACTCGAGGAACCTGGGCAGGCGAGCCGGACAACTGCTGCTGGGAGTGACGCTGCTGGTGGTGCCAGTTGACAGCGTAATGGAGCGTGTGCCGCCGGTGACTAGAGCTGACCAGGGTCGAGTTATTCACAGTCGAAGATCTATGGGCTGCACTCGAGGGTGCTGGAGCACGCTCGTCCCAAAAGTTGGCTTTCGGACGAGAGATCGGGGTGGAGGGATACAGCACGAAGTCCTCCTGCAGGTTGCTGCTGCTGATCTTGTCGCTGTTCAGATCCGGACACTGAGCCAGAGGCTGCGGGGGCGGGGGCGTGGGAAGCCATGTTTGCTGATGGTTATCCGTGGTGACGGACGAAGCGTCGAACGGAGAAATAGTCGTGGAAAGCGAACTTGAGCTACGCGAAGCGTCGCTGAAGTTCAGAGGCCCAGAAACGGGGGACTCTGAAAAAGAATTGGTAGAGAGGGGATTAACAATCGAAAACCTCGAAAAATGTATTTTGTCTGTCTCGTGGTGAGAGACAGGGCGTTGGGGAGCGAGGAGAGCGCTTAGAAGGCCGCCATGGTGCTGGATATCTGCTTCAAACCGAGTGAATGATATGTGATATGTCTGGATAGAGAGGTTTGTGGGATG